TCCCAGAGCCAGGGTGGAGGTGGAGCAGAGCACCTGAGAGGGGGGGGAGGGAGGAATGTGTATAGGGTTGGTGGGAAGCAGGTGGCGGTGGTTGGCACAGGGGTAACGAGACGCAAGGAAGCAGCCGGTCTAAGGCGTCTCTGACCCTACTCCCCGACATCGCCGCCGGTACCGGCCCTTCGTCCCTGTCTGGGCCCCTCCCCATACACACACACATACACACAAACTTCCCCTCCCCCCTCCTCCCCCCCCTCCCCCCCCTACCGGCAGGTCCCCCGCCAGGAAGAGCCGCTCCACCACCTCCCGCTGCGCCCCCTCCATGGCCGCGTTGTGGAACCCCACGCCAGCAGCCAGGCAGGACTGGGGGGGCGGGCGGGGGGGAAGTGGGGAAAGGAGCCAAGGGGGAATAAGGGGTCACGATGGGGAGGTATGGCGTATGGGGTGAATGGATCGACGTCGAAAACAGGACAGGGTTACCGGTAGTGTCATCTGATCCTATTACTGATCCTCCGTGCCTGCAGCTGCTTGTTCGCCGCCACCTCCCGCGCAGCAGCCGCCAGCCGCTCCGCATGCGCTCCGTCCCGCACGTAGCCTCCGCCCCCGGGCCCCCGCCCTGCATGCCCCTGTCCCTGCCCTTCCGCCTGCTGCTGCTGCTGCTGGCTGGCCTCCCGCGCTAGGTGCGTGGCGGACTCGATGGTGCCCTTGCGGGAGCTGCAGTAGGGGAGGGGAGGGGGGCGGGAGGGGGCGGTGGTTTTCATTTCAGGTAGGACATGAGGAAGAGCGAGCGGAACGTGCTGCGTCCGCGTGCGACATGTAGCCACCCCGCCGTCACGCCCCGCTCAGCTTACGCTAAACCCCCCCCCCGCCCCATCACCCCCCTCCTGCGGTATTCTTACCAGCCAAGTGTGAAACCGCATCCTCTCCCCCCCTACCCAGCTAGCTAACCTCCCTCACTCACCTGCAAAACACCAGTGTCGGCTTCCCGCCGCTGAACTCCGCCACCACCCCCGCCAGCTGGCTGTCCAGGCGCCGCTCGAACAGGAAGTCGTTCTTGGCGGGGGTGTAGGTGCGCACCACGGTGCGCAGCTTCACGGGGCGCATCTCCTCGCCTGGGTGGGGGGGGGAGGGAGGGAAAGGGAGGGGTGGGGCGTGGGGATTGGGGTGGGCGGAGGCGGAGGCGGAGGGGGGTCAAAGCCCATACATAACAATAGGAAACCGTAGGGGTGGAAAAAGAGGAAGACTAGCTGACGGCAGCTCCCCACCTCCCCCCGCCAGCACCCACCGTACACCTTGAGCCCCCCCGGCGGCACCCGCAGCCATGTTGCGATGTCCCGCACGTTGGGGATGGTGGCGGACACGGCAACCAGGCGCAGGCGGGAGATGGAGTGCTGGGGGGGGGAGGGGGAGGGGAGGGGAGGGGAGATGAGAGAAGGATGAATAAGGGGAAGGAGGGGTGCGATGGGGAGGCGTCATAGGGGCGCAAGCCACGTACCGTATCACATAAGCCCCCTCCCTCCCCCCTCCCTCCCCCCCCCCTCACCTCCCTCAGCTCCGGGAACCCCGCCAGCAGCGTGAGGCGGCTCACCACCCCCGCCTCCAGCGCACTGCCGCGCTCCGACTCCGCCAGCAGGTGCACCTCGTCGATCAACACCAGGCGGATCTGTTTTAAGGGGGTGGGGAAGGGGGAGGGAGGAGGGGAGGGGAAGCGTAAAGGATAAAAGGAGGATGGCGAGGGGGGGCACAGCGGGTTTGCAACTGAGTAGGGGCATGGGGAGGGCGGTGCGCAAGGCTGACGAGAGGGTTACAAACATAAAAAGGAGGGCGGTGCCGCATCCTTGCCTCCCTCCCCTCCTCCTATCCTCCTCACGTCGCTGAGGAAGGTGGCTGCCCGGTTCTTCTCGCTCATCTTGCGGCTGATTGCGTCCAGCTTCTCCGGGGTGGTGCACAGCAGGTCCGCCCCCTCCAGCGAGGCGGCGTCCGGCTCGCTGTCGCCGCTCAGCTCCAACACACGCAGACCCAGCAGCGTGCCAAACCTTGGGAGGGGGCGGGGGAGTGAGGGGGGGGAGGGGGGGGGGTTCACGGGAAGGAGGCATGTAGCATACAAGCTGCAAGGAGCCTTCCCACTTCCTCCCACCTCCCACCTCCCTCCTCACGCACACTCCAATCCCTGCCTCTTGCCGTCTTCCCTCTTCCCCTGTTTCCCTAGTAAGCAATCCCCCTCCTCCCTCCCACCTGGCTTGCCAGTCCTTGCACTTCTCCTGCACCAGCGCCCGCAGCGGCGCCACGTACACCGCCTTGCAGGTCCCCCGCAGCGGTCGCAACCGGGTACCTGCCGTACCTGCTGCCGTACCCGGCCCTGCTGCCTCGCCCCCCTGCTGCCCCCCCTGCCCGCCCCCCTCCAGCCAGCCTGCCAGCATGCCCAGCAGCGCCAACTCCATCACACCCGTCTTGCCGGAGCCGGTGGGGGCGGACACAACCTGGCAGGGGGGGAGGGGAGGTCAAGGACCGTGTCAAACCATAAGAAACCACAGGTTGGGGCAAGACAATGGGGACAGAAGCGGCATGGCGCCTCACAACGTGTTGGTTAACGTTCCCCAGAGGCAAGAGTTGAGAAGGGGGGAATGCATGTGTATGGGCTTAAGGGGCGGGAGAGGGGAGAGGTCTTGCCCTGCTCCCATGACGTACCATGTTCATGTCGGAGTGGTAGGCCGCCTGGAAGCACTCGGACTGCACCGGGTTGAAGTACCTGCATGCAGGAGGAGGGCGGGTTCAGGCGCTACGTACAAGTGCCGTACAGGTGTGTACGGCAGGTGTCGTACAGCGGACCCATTTCGGTATTAGCGGCTGGCTAAGCTGGTCTGGTGTTACCTCTACCACAGCCAAGCGCTCCGAGCGCTCCTATATAGCCCCCACATCAAATGTGGGTCATTATTGCTTACATGGCCGGTGGCCTGTACGGCAGCCCATCCTCCCCAGATACGGCAAATCCTCCCGGCATCTGGGTCACAATGCTGACCTGCTCTTTATCCCCTGTTCCCCACTTCCCTCCTTCCAAGCCCAAGCCCACATTCTGTGCCCCACCAAGGGCGCCAACCTAAACCCTTAAACCTGCCCTCCCGCCCTGACCCAAATCGCCTCCTGCATACGCTCAAGTCCCCAACCCAAATCGCCTCTACTCCCGATCCCATCCATTCCCACCCCGACCCATGAATTGGGATTGCTGCTGTGCCCCGACCCTGATCAGCAACTCTCCATTCCCACCCCGACCCAGACCAGCAACTCTCCACTTCCCACCCCGACCCAGATCAGCAACTCTCCATTTCCCACCCCGACCCAGACCAGCAACCCTCCATTTCCCACCCCGACCCAGACCAGCAACCCTCCATTTCCCACCCCGACCCAGATCAGCAACTCTCCATTTCCCACCCCGACCCAGATCAGCCACCCTCCATTTCCCACCCCGACCCAGATCAGCCACCCTCCATTTCCCACCCCGACCCAGATCAGCCACCCTCCATTTCCCACCCCGACCCAGATCAGCCACCCTCTATTCCCGAACTCCTAAGCCATATCCAACCTTACTCAGATCCACCCCGACCCAGATCAGACCCTCCTCCGCACCTGTAGTTCGGAAACAGCGGCTGGAAGGCGGGCGGCAGGTCGCGAACCGCAATCAGACGATCAGAGTCCACATCGCCACCCATATCCATGGCAGCGTTGCTGTTGCAATTGTAATCGTTGCCGTACATGCCCCCGGTGCCACCACCATTGCCGCCAGCGTTAGGGTGCTGGGAGCCAGGCGGCGGCTGCCGTTGTTCTTGCTGCTGCTGGGTGTATTGCGAGGAAGCGAACTGGGTCGGGGGCGTGTGCACGTTGGCGTACGGGGGCTGCGGGAAGTGTGGCGAAAGACCACCAGGGTACGCGCCGCCACCGCCACCACCGCCGCCGCCATCACCAAAGCGGCTGCCAAAGTTGCCACCGCCGCCATCGCCGCCAGGACCAGGGCCCCTCCATCCCGCCGCCGCCGTGCCTTGGCTGGCGGACTGGAATATCGTACGGCCACCTCCGCTCGTACCACCGTACGCGCCGTGCCGATCTGGGTCAGCGCCAGATATGCCGTACACGTTTCCCCCGTGGCGCTGATGATGCGGCGGATGGCGTACGGCAGGGGGCGGAGGCGGAGGCATCATGGTGTTTTCCGCGTCGCTGTCGTACGTTGCGCTGCCTTCATCATAGCCGCTGTGACCCACATTGTTGGAGTAGCTGTTGATGTTACTGCTGCTGCCGTTGTGGTGGTGGTGAGTTGCATGGGGCCGCAGCAGCTGACTGTTGTGGTGCATGAAGGGCTGCGAGGAGGGAGGCGGCTGGTGGTGCGGGCGGTGCTGGTAGGTGGGATGTAGGTCGCCGCCGGGAAGGAAGGCCGCGGCGGACGGCTGTTGCGGCGCCCATCGTGCGCCGAGTGGTTGGCGAGGCTGTTGTTGCTGTTGCGGCTGTTGTTGAGACGAAAAGCTCCAGTCAGCTAGCTGGCCGTGACGAGGTTGATTGAATCCATTACTGTACATGGCTGCTCTTTAAAAAGCGCTGTTGAGCTGGTCTTGCTGTGCAACACAAGCCCCGCTAGCCTTCTTGAGGGAGAGACCCAGCAACCAGCAGGCCTCGGCTGCCTCGGATTATATACGTTCAGATGTTATATACATAAAGAGCTCACAGTAGTTATTTGGGCTGATAGAGACCCGGCCGCGCGCAACTGGAGCTGCAAATCAGAGGTTGGGACCTAGCACTCCTGTGGACGCTAGACTATTCGCTGTAGAGCTGCTTGCAGGTGTGAGGGCCTCCGCATACAGCAAGTAGAATATGCGCGGCAGACTGGCCGTGCGGAGCGGTCTACGAGTCACGGAAGCGGAAGTCTACCGTCAGGTGGTGAGACAGCGCGAAATAGATAGGTACAGGATCGCAGGGAGCGCGGAAGACGCGAAGTCGATTACATATAGACACACACAGTGCAATGTCCGAGCCGGGAAAGGCGAGGAGTTATTGCAGTTGCAATTATATGTGCCGCGCGCGTCTGGCGAGCTGGTCTCGGAGCCGCCGTACGGCCGCCCGGCAATCAATTATCCAGGAATACGGGCTTGCTCCGGGACTTCTAGTGCACCTACACAATCCAAGCACGACATATCGGACCCAGGATTGAAAGCAAACGTAGAGCACAGCTTTTATTGATCCAACGAACGGGCTTACAAACTGCTTTCGAGTTATTCCCCAAGCAAGCACGAGTATTAATACCCAACTTGTTCGCGGCAATAAAGCTGCTTAATATCAAGCTTTTCTGCCGCGACCCAGATTGTAAACACCTAGGTCTACGTCCCCTTCCCGACACGTTTCCGAACTACCAAGATACTAAATATGCATCATCGCGCGCTCCGCCGTCTCCTTATGAGCAAGGCAACCTCCCCTCCCATCCTCGTATGCCAACTCCACCGCTGCTCCTGTGGCTTTCCAACTCCCATGCCCCCCTCCACGTCGCCGACACACCCCAACCCTGTCGCACCTCCCCCACCATCGACCGCCTGTTCATGTGCGCTGCCCTACATCTCCTGCCCGCCATCCTCTCCACATCCCACATCCTCTCCTCCTCAAGCACCTCCCCCCGCATCCGTTACCCATGCTGATGGCACGACCTGCACCCGCCCTTCCCACACGCCGCTGCTGCCGCCGCCTGCTGCTGCTGCTCCCGGGTTAGGAACACGGGCGCCATGGGAACCGTGTGGGGCGCGCACGCCTCGCGGCAGTTCTCCGCGCAGCCCTTGCTGAAGGGGTTGACGAAACCGTGCCCGTCGGGCGCCTGCAGGTATCGGTAGCGGTGCCAGTTGGCGAGTTCGTTGGTTGTGACGTTGCGCGCCACCTGGGACGTCTGCGCCACCGTAAGCGCCGCCACGCTGAGACCTATAAACACATCCAACACCTCAAACACAATCATCCACACCAGCACGTCAGCACGCCAGGGGGTGTTGCGCCGGGCGGAGCCGCCGTACGGGTGGGAGGCGGAGGGCTGGGAGAGGTGGCGGTTGATTTGAATGACGCCCACGATTGCTGACGTCACCATGGCGTACAGCGCCACCCAGAGGAAGACCAGGAAGAGGGCGCGGTTGCCCTTGCCGATGGCGTTACCCACCCAGGGGCAGTAGTGGTCGAACACCTGGCGGGTCGGGTAGCCAGGTAGGGAAAGGGAGCGGAGGCAGGTAAGGGAGAGTAGGAAAGGCAAGAGCACATGCCTGGGAGAAGCGAAAAAGATGAACCCTGACAAGTGCGTGGCTCGCGTTGTGTGGCAGTCGGCGGCTCCTTACCCCGCCCCACCCTATTTTGCACACACACCCAACACCGTGTCGCATGGCCCAACAGTAACCCCACAGGTTCACTTGCACAGCCTTGTGGGGTACCCTAGCATCCGATCCAAATTGAACCCCCCTTCCTCTATCAACGCCCCTGCTTCTATCGCCCCTCCTCCCTCACACACCCGCACTCCCTCCGCGTCCCACCTCAATGCACCGGTTGGTGACCGAGCAATGCTTGGCTCGCAGCGGCCGCACGATGCGGCACGTCACGCAGAGCTGCTGCCAGTTGCCCGACCAGAGTGCGGGGGAGTCCAGCTGCTTCACATGGCTGTACTTGCCGCCGCCACGACCCGAGCTGCTGCTGAGGCCGCCGCTGCTGCTGTGGCTGCTAGTCACGGAGGTGCCCCGCTGCACAGCCGCCCCCCCGCTGCCGCCATTCCCGCCCTCCCCGCTGCCGCCCTCGCGCTTGCTACTGCCGCTGCCGTACGCATTCTCAAAACCCGTGGGAATGAAGCCCGGGTCGCTGGTGGTGACGCGATAGAGCAGCGCCAGCGCTAGTGCGCACGACACGGCCACACTCCAGCCAAAGAATTGCAGCACGGGCCCCATGGTGGGTTCCATCACCTTGTTTATGAACAGGCTCACCATAATGATCATGAGCGCCCAGATGCAGGGGCAGAGCTGGGTGGAGGTCAGCCAGGACAGCCGGCCGTGCTTGCCGAAGCACGTGCCGCTACCGGCTCCGGAACCACCCCCGGAGGACCCCGGCTCGTGCTTGGACTTGTACTCCGCGAGGTGCAGGCCCAGGTAGCGGTGGCCCTTGTCGATGGCCAGCTGCGCGGGGGTGCTGCCGGTGACGTCGGTGTAGGTGAGCACGCAGGCGGAACCGCCCTGCAGCAGCACCGTGCAGGCCTCGCCGTTGCCTTTGATGGCGGCCCAGTGCAGCGGCGTGCAGCCCTCCTTGTCAGCCAGTGTGTAGCGCGCGTCGAGGACGAGCAGCAGGCGGATGGTGTCGTGGAAGCCCTTGTAGGCTGCCCAGTGCAGCGGCGTGCGGCCGTCGTTGTCAGGCAGGTCAACGTCGGCGCTCCAACGAAGCGCGAGGTGGTAGATAACGGCGGTTTGGCCGTACTGCGCGGCGACGTGTGAGACGGTGTAGCCGCGGTTGTCGCGTGCTTCCCAGTCGGCATTGTGCCGGAGCAGCGTTTCAATGACCGGCAGGCTTCCACGCACAGCTGCCCAATGCAGCGATGTCTGACCGGTTTGGTCAGCAGCGTTGACGTGGGCGCCATGCTGTAGTAGGTAGCTACACTCCGGCACCCTGTTGTTCAACGCGGCCCATTGCAGCGGGTAATACCCGTTCTCGTCGGGTTTATTGACGCTCTGCGGGTCCGACTCCACAAAGAGACGAAGCTTGTCGAAATCTCCATAGGCGCAAGCTTTGCTAAGCGTATCTACTGCGTCGCGACCTTGCTGCATCGTGGCACGGAGAGGCGCCCGAGCACGCCCAGCAGCAGGGGCGCCTCAGGTAAGATTACACAAGGACAGGGTAAAATTATGGGGTGGATATCCGTGAACAAAGCCTACAAACTCCAGGAGCCTAAGGGATCGAAGCAGGTTCGAATGGTTTGGTCGATGTAATGGCTGGTAACACTGTCGCAAATAACGTTATAAAGATCAATTCTTTGGGCTGAGGCACGCTCGGTAGCTTACAACTTTTCCCTGTTTAAATGGGCCAAAGCCATAAGCGCAGCAGGTGTTGAGCAGGCCGGTCCACTATCTACAAGGTAAATTGAACCTGTATAAACGCCACACCAAAAGGTACTCTCGAGTTGGAGCTTTGGAGGTTGACTTTCGTACGTCACGGCACAAGCCGCGGTTGTTTGGTAGTCTCAGACTCTCCTCTATGTCCTGTGTCCGTGTCAACTGCTCGCCATAATCACGTTTTAATCAAGTACCTTATTCGTGAGCTCGTGTCAGCGGTGTCACTCTTGCACAAGAATGCAAATGTGTGCTAGGACGTCTTCTGTGAGCTACCGCGAGGAGCCGAGCCATATTTCTAAGGGGGCGTTAGTTCTAGGTCCTGCGGCGGCCGTTCCTTGGCTGCGAGTACCCTGGAGCGAGGGTCGAGGGCTGCAGCACAGTGGCTGGATGGATGCTGGCTTGCCCTCCGGCGTGTCATAATGCCTTACAAGGGTACTTGCCCAGGCACTTCGGTAGGAACGGGCGTGGGGGCGTTCCATATCTGTTTTCCCCCTCCGCGCCTGGGGCTGTGAGGTTGGTTAACACGGTAGTTGCCGGCGAGCCAACGCCCACAGATGACCGTTGTCGGACAGACGAGGTCACCACGCGCTCGAAGCACCACCTGCAGTTATACCCTATTACAGGTAGCGGCCACTTCGCCCACACACGTTGTCATCAGCACATCGCGCCATTCCATTGAGCTGTTGCCTCGAACAGCGCGCCTGCTGCTCTGCCGCAGTTACCTGCCCACGGGGCAGCTGGGCTATGCATCGGCAGTTATCCCCGTTCCCAGAGTTACATCAGGAACTAGAACCGCTTACAGCTCCGCCCCAGCAGACGTTTTTGTTCTAGTTCCCGGTATCATGTGTTGTCCATAGAGTTCACCCAGGCTGCGTATACCCCGCATACGATAATCGTCTGCAGCTGCTGCGGCTGCATCCAGCCGCAGCATCACTGCGTGCTTCGTGCTTGTTTACTGCTCGAGGCGCCCAGATCGTTCGGTGCGGCTGTCCAGCTGCTTGCGGCTCACATTGCCATCCATAAGAGCAAGCAGCTATGACCCACTCGCGATGCGCCTTCCAGCTTCTATGGTCGCTGCTGTCGCCGTCCCTGCTGCTGCTGCTGCTGGCATGCAGTGGGGCTGCTGCGAGCCGGGAGGGGCAGCGGGACGGGGAGGCGCTGCCGCCCGCCCACACGTCCCCGCCGTCCCCGTCCACCCCGCCGCCCTCCCACACGTCCCCGCCGCCTCCCGGGTCGACCCAGCCGCTCACTCCGGCAAAGCGGGCGGATGAAGAGGGCTCGGTGCACCGGCAGCAAGGGCAGAAGCGCTTGCAGCAACGGCAGCGGCAGGGGCGGCGGCGGGCTGCAGGGAGTGAGGAGCCGGAGGCGGCCAGGCGTCTAGGGGCTCGTGGCGACGGGCAAGAGTCATGCAGCGGCCATGAGGCTGCTGCTGCTGCGGGTTGCGGCCGGGTGCCTTGCGGTGTGGAGGCGGCGATGTACGTAGCTGTGCTGGTGGCGGTGCAGCTGGCGTTGGTGGCGGCGGTGTAGCGCGTGTAGGGGGTGGGGAAGGAGGAGTATAAAAGGATAAGGGGAGGGAAGTGGGGACGGCGGGCAGGGAAGAGGAGGAAGAGGAGGATGGGCGGCGTGTGAACAAGCGCTGGCGGGCGGGTTAAGGGTTTGTGTGCTTTGTGGTGGAGAAGGTAAATTTTATGGTAAGTGGGTTAAAGCGATGGCTTAGGGGCAATCCCCCAGTATATGGTATCCCTCGGATGCGTGGTACAGTCGGTACGTTTCCTTAGGACGGTAAGGAGTAGCCCGCCGTAGTCACCCGCGCGAGCCTAACTGTTCTTGCTTCATATGGCCGGCTCTGCTAATGAAGCAAGTACTAGCTGCGTACACGAGTAGCGCGTGATTCGGCGGTGCTCTGCAAGCAGGGCTCTGGCAACCGCTTTGCAACATACATTTAGTCTTAGCTCTGACATAGGCCCATGTTGATCTGCGAAAATGATTTTTCATAGAATTAGCGAAGAGTGGCAAAAGTGGTCATGGATGCATGTGAGGAAAGACATCGTAGTCCGATACCTCGGGCGATACGTTCACGGAGAATCCTAACCACCGTACCATATTGGTGCCGCGAACACAGCGTGCCAACTTGTATTTGCATTTAGTTTTACTTTTCCTATAAGTCAACGTATCCACTACTGCGGGCACCTCTAGGGATATTGCTTTTGAGGAAAAACGCAACCTGACAAAGACGTTACCAAATATGGCAGCGGCCACAGCCGGAGACGGAAGGCCTACTTATTCTGCAAGCTCTTACTGGGATCATCGCTACACCGGGCCTGCTAAGAATTTCGACTGGTAAGACCAGTAGCTGCCACCGTGTGCCGTTTTCCATTGTTGATTCAGGGGGGCCTTCTTGAAAATGCAGGTTCTTTAACTACCCAGCGCTCAAGGCTCTCCTGCAACGGTACCTGCCTTCGGGACGGGTTCTCCATGTTGGCTGCGGGAACAGTAATATACAACAAGGCATGGCCGCGGACGGCTTCAAAGTAACAAACGTAAGCCCGTAAGGTTCAATTATCAAATATGGAGCGGGATAGCGTTCAACACCGGTCTGGGGTTTGCATCGGTGATGACATGCGGGCAGCTGACCCCACATGCACCAATTTATCCCTGACACTTTGGCTTGCAGGTAGACATCTCACCAGTCGTTATCGAACAAATGCGTGTCCAACACGCGGACAACGTCTCTCTGGACTATCTGGTCGCAGATTGCAGAGCCATGCCCGAACTCGAGAGCTGCAGTTTCCAATCCTGCATCGACAAGGGGACGATGGATGCGGTGCTGTGCAGTCAGTCAGGCCAGGTGGACGCCGCCAAATACCTCCACGAAATCGACAGGTGATTTAGCCTCCCTAACCATTAGAGCCCTAACCATTCCGTCATGCCATGATCCCAGGTATGTTGGAAGCTCTCATTCCCATCCTCAAACTGCTTGCAAGTCAAGCATGATATCCTCGCCACTGATCCGCGCTCACGCCCCGTTTCCCCCCCCCCTCCACTACCTCCATGCCAACCCTTTGCTTTACCTGTGCCCCTGCTCGCTGACAGCCCTGTTCCATGCCCCACGCCCCGTTCCCACCCTTTCCTCCTTTCACCTGCAGCGCACTTCCCAACACCCTTTCCTCCCTCTCCTGCCCTCCTGCCTCCCTCTCCGCCCCCAGGCTGCTCCAGCCCGGCGGTACCTTCCTCCTCATCTCCCTGGGCGCCCCTGATGCCCGGGTGGCCATGCTGGAGAAGCAACTGTGGGGCGAGGTGCAGGTGGGCTCGAGAAGGGATTGGGGGGGGGCTGTGCTCATCTGGACAGCAGCAGTATCATCCTGTCCTGGCCTACCGCCGTACAACAGCTGTTATCGCACCGTCCCGCCGCTCTTCCCTTCCCGCCCTTGCCTCCCGCACCTCCCCGCTCCTCCTCTTCCTCACCCTCCTTATGGGCGTTATGGCAGTGTCCGTTCCTTTCCTCCCACCCACCACCCCCGCCAGATCCTGCTGCTGCCCAAGCCGCTGCTGTACCTGCAGTCCGACGCCTCCCTGTCGGGCCGCCCGCTGCCGGCCCACTGCGCCGCCAACAAGGACGAGCCGGTGCAGCCGCTGGGGCCCTGGCGGCCGCAGGAGGCGGCGGAGCAGCTGGGGCGCATGCAGCTGGACGCGCGGGACTTCTTCTTCGCTTACCTGTGCACAAAGCCGGGGGCGCAGGGGGTGGAGGGGACGCAGGGGGCTGGGGCGGAGGCGCAAGATGAGGCGCCAGCAGCGGATGAGGGGAAGGTGGCAGGGGTGCCGGCGCAAGGGGAGGGTGTGCAACGGGAGGCGGTAGCAGCGGAGGGAAAAGCAGCGGAGGAGGTGCGGGCGCAGGGGAGTCAGGTGGAGGCGCAGGAGCTGCAGGAGCAGCAGCAGCCGCTGGCATGTCCTGAGCAGCCGCAGCATGAGGAGCAGCAGCCGCTGCAGGACCGGGCGCTGCAGGCGGGGGAGGCAGAGCCGCCGCCTCAGCAGGAGCAGCCTCGGCAGGAGCAGCCTCAGCAGGAGCAGCCTCAGCAGGAGCAGCCTCAGCAGGAGCAGGGATGCGATGCAGCGAGCGATAAGGCGGAAGAACAGCAGCAGCAGCAGCCGACAGCAGCAGATGCGACCACAGCAGCTGCAACCTAGCATGGCTCCTCCTGGCCCCTCTGCCTCTCGTACGGACACGCACTGCGTAGTACACGTGTAACCGGACTGTACGGTGGGTGGCGGCCGCAGCTGCTGCAGCGGCACGAGGGCCACCGGTGGCGGTGTGCAGCACTAGGTGACAAGCAGGGGGGGAGGGCGGGTGCTGATGGGCGAAACGCGTTGTATTGGAGCATGCACGTGACGCGTTCGCTAAGAAAAACTGGTTTGAGCAAACGAATGCGCATTTTGGTTTTCTGCTGAATGTATGTATGCGTGCCGGGCGCACCCGCAACAGGAGGTGGCAGGCGTGAAACGTGTTCATGTCGACAGAAACTACGTCTGCTTGATGCTGCAGCTATGGATGTGTTAACCACCTCGATACTTACGAACTTACTCTGTTTCATGCTGCTGCTAGTGATGCTACACTGTGATCTGTTGAGGGAGCAATACGGACCTGGATAAGCCGTGTACTGGGTCGGCGTGTTCGTTCTAGCATTGGGATTCCTTCTGTGTGGGTCATGATCTCGTGTAGGAGGTAGTGAGGTACCTACATGTACTCCACCGGAGGGGATAAATCGTGATCTCGGCATGTGGTCTCGGCATGTGTGAAGACTGTGCAGACTTGCGGCGTCTGCATATGATTGCGCTGTGCTGTCGTACGGCCGCTTCGACGTCTACAGCTGGGGCAGTGGTGGTGCCGTGTGTATTGGGTTACAGCCTAGTACCGTAGTAGGCGCCCGACTGGAACGGCTGTTATGTTTTTCGAAGTTATGCTGTTGAGGGATTTCTTTCCCACTGCCCTGCACATGATGTTGTACCGGTACCATACCATGATGCATGGAAAAGTCGTAGCGATCGCATTCCGTGTAGCTTTTGTTAGGATTGGCTAGGCTAGTCGCCAGCGTACCGTATCTCGACTCCCCGTGTCGTGCCACGCGTATTTTCGTCAATATGTGTTTTTGTTCAAAGCGTGCATTTAGAACTGTCGTGCAGAGGAACAAGAACTATGGAAAGGCGTTTCCGGGTCGAGAGGAACTTGATTACGTGTGCTGGTGGTTGGTGTGTTTGGTGCGGTTGGTGCGAGGCGCACTTCAGTAACAGGTCACCAGCGCGTCCCACCCGCTGCCGGCACCTGGTGGCGCCCTGCTGCTGCTGCTGCATGCGCTGCTGCATGCGCTGCTGCAGGTGTCCGGTTGGTGGCTGTCCAAGTGGTGCGGAGAGCTGGCTGCATGGTCACCTGGCTAGGAAGTGATGTTGGGTGAACTGGCCGCGAGTCGGAACGTACTGTGATTGCCGGAAGGTGAAGTGCGGTGCGGTGCGGTTCAGTGTGGGCGTGTGGGTGCTGCTGTGGTGTTGGTGGGGGTGGCAGACCGGGAGGCCCCACCAGCCCCGCATGGTTACAGAGGACTTCGTCGCGGCTCAGTTACAAGCTTACAGCGCCCCCACCGGCCCCACCGGCTCCAGCTGCAGCGACTTGGCTGTGGCGAGTAGCTGCGCCTCGTAGCGGGCGCGGCAGGTCTCCAACGTCTGAGCCGTCAACGTGATGAGCCGGTTGTACCTGAGGGAAGGGGGGAGGGAGAGAGGCGGAGGACGCGGCCGGGAGGGTGTTGTGGTGGGGTTTTGTGAGGGTTCCTGAGCGGAGGGCATGAGTCATGTCATTTTTGCGATGTGCATGTGTGTGTGGGGGTAGGAGGAGGAGGACGTTGCTGGGGGACGTCGCCTCAGTGCACCACGAGCGCCATGGGAGAACGTTATTGACATTGCATGGGCTGCAGAGCTGTGCTTGTTTATTTCGTTGCTTGTGTTGTCGTTTTATGTGTGGGCTTTCCACGGCGGCACGGCGGCGGCTGGGGGTGGTGAAAGCCCCCTAGCTAGCTGTATTGGTCACTTGAGAGAGACACTTGACAGCGCAAAAGCGATGTCTGGGCTGTAGGGGAACCCGACTGCGGCTGCGGCTGCGCGGCTCCGCTGCAACATGAGCTCGTCTCTAGCGGGGACCCGTGACGTGCACAACCCCGCCGCCAATCGCCGATCCCACCGGAGCATGAGCTGGGTTGGGGTCCTGACGGCGTGTAGAAACCACTTCGTGAGTGGGGAGGCCTAGCCCTGCCTGTTCCCCGCCCTTCAGCCCCCATTCCACCATACGGTACTTCCTTTACCCACCTGCCGTTGCTGCTCAGTCCGACGACGCAGTAGAGGTGGCGCGGCGGCTCCAGACCAACCGCAGCCGCCTGTTGCTGCTGCTGCTGCTGCTTCCCCGCCCCCTCCTCAGCTGCAGTAGCGGTTGCCACCCCCACCCCCACCACGCTGCCTCCTGCTGCTGCTGCCCCTGCCGCTGCCCCTGCTGCTACCCCTGCTGCTGCCGCCGCCGCTGCTGCGTCCGCCGGTGTTGCGGTGGGCGGCAGCTGCTGCTGCACGTACTCCACCCAGTAGCGGTCGGGACCCAGCTGGGAGGCGTCCAGCAGCCGGGCGACCTGCGGGAAGGGGAGGGGAGGAGGAGGGGGAGGAAAAGTGATATGAGAAGTGAAGCACAGTCGCATGTACCGACTCATGCAGTGTGAGCACATTAGCAGAGCCCTGCTCTACGGTAGGAAAACAGGCAAGCCAGGTACTTACGAGTGCGTGCTTACCAGAGGCAGAGACACCCTCACATCCTCACATGCACCCCCTCCCTCCCCACACCTCACCGCCCCCCACCCGCACGTGCCTGTATCGGCTCCCTCCCCCGCGCCCAGCTCGGCGCCCTCAGCAGCTGCGAGCGGTCCTGTCCGCCCACCAGCTGACCACCGAACACAGCGGGGCTGCCCAGACTGCCCAGACGTGTGAACTCCTGGGGGGTCAAAGACCATACCGAACCATAGGAAGCCACAGGTTGGGACAAGACAATGGGGGTAGGAGCGGCAGGGAACTCCTTGGGGGGGGAGGGGGCGTCCAGGCAGCGTGACCACGCATTGACTGACCACACAGCGGGGTTTGGGGTTCACAGCTGGCCACCAGCTGTGCCGACATACTGCCAACCGCTATTCAGGAGCTATGTGAGTGAGTAATCTACAGTTGTTACGGCACTCACAACTGAAACGTTGGTTACGGTAACGGTCACGTTCACGTCTCGCGGGCTGGCATCCGGCGGGAACCAGGCCAGTGTGCGGCGGGCGCCTGGTGGTGGGGGGTGGGGGGTGGGGGGTGGGGGTGGGTGGGTGTAAAGAGGAAGAACTAACTGACTAGGGGTGGGGGGTCGAGGGAGGGGTATACAGATATACCCAAACCACACATTAGGGCAAAAGCATGGGGATTCAGGGAAGCAGTTTGCCGCGAAACAAAAGGCTCCCTCACTCACCTGACGCGCCGCTGAAGGAGGTATTCCCGGGCAGTGCGCCCTCCCCCGCCAGCCACCCAGCCGGCACCCGCAGCGAGAAGCCGTCGGTGGGGTCTGCGGGAGGGGGCGGAGGGGTGGGGAGGAAGGGGAGGAAAAATAATGATAAGTGTGGCAACGAGTCCCAACGAGCCTAGGTGTGGAGGAGGAGACCCATCTAGTGGAACGGGCGGAGCAGCTGCAGTGTGCAAGGGACGCCGGGCACAGCTATACCGGTACCCCCAAACCCCTTACCGCGGTTACTCCCCACACTGCTCTCTTGCGCCACCTCCTCGTCCCCGCGCTAATGGGTGGCCCCAACCCGCCCACCCTGCCGTACACCCCAAGGGGCCGCCTGCCTGTTTCGCCACCTCCCCTTCCCCGGCCCGCACCACAGCGCCCACCTGTGTAGGTGGTGAAGCTGCCGGTGCTCGAGCCTGCTCGCGAGAAGGGGAGCAGCAGGCAGGCGCGGGCACAGGGAGAGAGATGGGCGAGAGTAAGGGGCCAGTGGGTATTGTTATGGGAGTAGGGATATACCGGTAGGTTTGGGAGCCATGGGAAGCATACGGAGCAGTGGAGTTGGCTACCTGGGAATGCACGCACCTACCCTCCAACGCCACGTCCAACGCCAGGGATGGTCGCCAAGCCGCCGAGCTTAGGACAGCGGTGGCTGCCAAAAGGAGGCTTCTTCGACTGCAAAATGGCAGGAAGGCAAGCAACATCGGCAGAAGCGCAGCGAGCAAGCATAGTAGTAGGATAGGGCTGTTGTGCTGTTACCTACTCGACCAGCCCAAAGCCGTCCGATACAGAGTGTGTAGTGGGAAGATTAGTGGCGCTGTAAACGGCCAGCCTTTTCCGGGTGCGAGCATTGGGGCCTCCGCGACATTCCGAACCATGCAAGCATTTACTGTTAGTTCTTGGAGCACGAGGAACGGTAATAGACTTCAGTAGCATCTTGATAAATGCATACACTGGCTTCAATAGCTCCTGCTGAAGTTTGTGGTGGCATCAGACTTTGACGGTTAGTCGGTTGGCATTTAGTACTATTGGCCCCGGAGTTCTCTGACCGCAACCGCTTACATCAAGCTTGCTGTTGCTTATGGCGCCTTCCCGGGGCTGATCTTGCCCCTTTTGATGGCTCTACTCTAACTTCCTTGCATCGCTGACAAGTTCACTAACTCAGGCGAGCAATATGAGTGAGCTAGCTGCCCTGAAGTCTTTGTCAAAAGCAAGGGAAAGCGAGGAAAAAAGGTTACAGGAGCGAAGACGCAACGTGCTGGTTCTCATTCTTCGGCATTTGGCGGACCATGGCTACGTCGACACGTATGAAAAGTTGTGCACGGAGACAAACTTAAGCCTGCAGAAGGTTTGTACCAGTATCATAGCCGGTTTCTGACACGCACACCTTTCTAACAGAATCCGCTTGAACACGGCATGTCGAACCCGCAGGTGGACGTTGCCGATAACATAGACCTTGTACGTATCCTGCAAGAGTTTGAAGAGTCGTATGAACTCAAATTCGGCAAGCGCCCGAAGGTGGTTCGCCGCCTTGTCGAGGAGGTGCGTGCATGGAGGTGGCTTGACGCGCGCTTTGCCTAACGTAACCGCGTTGGAGCGGTGGAGGGAGCTGATGAGATCAGTATTTGCCAGGAGGGGGCATGCATTTGGGCGTGGGGCTCCCCCATTTCCGTACCTCTAAACCCACGGATGACGAACCCATGAAAGCGACGTCCGAATCTCCCCTGCAGGCCAACCTGCCTCCCCCAACCTGTCTACCTCTACCTCCCCACCCCATTCCCTTCCCCCCTTCCCTGCCCCCTCAGGTGCCCTCTGGTGGCGGCGGAGTGCGGCCGCGGCTCACCTCGGGCGGCCGGGTGGCGGCGGGCGCGGCAGCAGCGGGGGCGGGGGCGGGCAGCGGCGGCGGGGGGCTGGGGGCTGCGGGGGCGGCAGCGGGGGTAGGAGCAGCAGGTGGGCGGGGGTGTGCGTGTGTGCGTGTTTGGGTGCTTGTGGTGTGGAGGGGAAGGGAGGGGAAGGCGGGGTGTCAAGGTGGGTGCAGGAGGGGGCCGGGAGGGAGGCGGGTTAGGATCTGGGAGGAGGAAGAGGAGGAGGTGGCCGGGAGGGTGTGAAGCGGGGCTGAGTCCGGGCGAGGCCGGGAGTCCCGGTGAGGAGGAGCACGGTAGAGGCGTCATCATAGTTACCGCCCCTACCCCGTACCGCCTGCCCCTACCCCGTACCGCCTGCCCCTACCCCGTACCGCCTGCCCCTCCTCGCATCCTGCCCTGTTCCTGCCCCCCCTCCCTCCCCTCCCAGGCGGCTTCGAGGGCCCCCCGGTGAGCGGCGCACTGGCAGCCCGGCAGCGGCGTGAGGCGGGGGCAGCTGCTGCGGCTGCGGAGGCGGGCAGGCGGGCGGAGCTGCTGGAGAGGAGGCAGGCGGCCATGAACAGGTGGGGGGAGGGGGGAGAAGGGGGGGTAGGCAGAGGGATGACGAAGGGGGTTGGAAGGGAGAAGGAAAAGGAGAAGGAGAAATGACGGCGGAGGAAGAGGAAGAGGAAAGGGCAGGGAGGCAAGTTGGCCGGGAGGCCTGGTGACCCTTGGGTCGGCAGACGGTTGGTTAGGTTAGTTAGGCCCTGCTGCACCCTAGACCCGCTCACTCCTCCTAGACCTCTTCAACTTGACTCCCATCCTGCTCTCTTTATCTCTTTCGCTCGCGAAAACCTCCCCCCACTCCTCTCCCTCCCTCCCCCCCCCCCTCGCCAGTGTAAAGCCCCCGCCCGAGGTGGGCGCCCAGCGAGTGGCGGGGGTGGCGGTGGACGGGCGGGGGGCGCTCATGGGGCCGGGGGCGGCAGCGGCGGCAGCAGGCGGGGGGACGGGGGGAGGAGGAGGAGGGCGCGAGGAGGCGGCGGGCGGCATGCAGGGACTGCATGTAGCGGGACAGGTGGGGTGTTGTGGGGTGTTGTGGGGAATGAGGGGAGGGGGGCAGAGGATAACCGCGTAACAAGAGGGGTGGGGGCTTGGGGCGCATGTGGGTCGGAGGCCCCTGGGGAGGGGGTACCCCTGGAGGCAGGGGGCGGGTGCGGGTACGGCGGGCTGGCAGGGGTTGTGCTTCACATTCCTCATGTGTGTTTTTCCTCCCCCGCTCCCCCTCCATTCCTCCCCAGGCCGCCCCCACCACCTCCAGCCGCACCAGTGGCACCACCTGCGGGCCGGGTGGGGTGGGTGGTGACAGCGACAGTGACCCCGAGGGCTTCTTCGAGCGCAGGGTGCTCAAACCCCTGCCCGCGCACCTGCAGGTGGGTGGGAGGGAGGGGAAGAGGGGGGGAGAGGAGGAGGGGGGCGGGGGAGGAGGGAGAAGTGCCATGCTGTGAACGCGGAGGAAGGAGAGGGGCGGAGGAGGCATGCGGGGGGCGACTAGCAGAGGACAGCAGCAGGTGGCATGTTGGGGTTGGCAGGGCCAGGCAAGAGGCAACCCTCCCCATTCCACCGCTAACAACCCGCTGCAAACATCTCCCCCTCCCCCCCTCCCCCTATTCCTCCAGGGCGAGCTGCGCGACCTGGGTGCTGCTCTGTCCCGCGACATCTTCACGGAGAGCCCGCACGTGCGGTGGGAGGACATCGCGGGGCTGGAGGGCGCCAAGCGGCTGATCAAGGAGGCGGTGGTGCTGCCGCTGAGGTACCCGCAGCTGTTCACGGGTGAGGGTGGAGGGGAGGGGAGAAGGGGGAAAGGGGGGAAGGGGGAAGAACTGGGGGCGGGGTTTGGGGGTAAAGAGGAAGGAATTAACGAGCTGTAAGACCCCATGGTTGGCGGGGCGGGAAGGGGAAGGAGCAAGGTGTCATAAACGCCGTCATTAACGCCCCCTTCCATTCCTCTACCCCCTCTCCCCCCCCCTTCAGGCCTGCTGGCCCCCTGGCGCGGCGTGCTGCTGTACGGCCCCCCGGGCACTGGCAAGGTGGGGGGAGCGGGGGAAGCCGAGGACGTAGCTACAGTTGCGGATACCCCTCCATACACAGTACCCCCCATACCTCCTCCCCCTCCCCCTCCCCCTCCTGCACCCCCTCCTGCACCCCCTCAATTGGTTTCCTATGGTTTGGTATGTCCTCGCCCCTCCCCCGCTCCTCCTCGTCACTTTCCTTCTCCTTACCCGCCCCTCCCCCCCCCAGACGCTGCTTGCCAAGGCGGTCGCCACCGAGTGCCGCACCACCTTCTTCAACATCTCCGCCTCCTCCATCATCTCCAAGTGGCGCGGCGACTCGGAGAAGCTGGTGCGGGTGAGTGAAGTGGGGTGGCGGGGAGTGGTGCTCATCACTTACCGGTAGGCTGCCATTAGGAACACATTAGGAACATACTCTTCTTCCCCCCTCCCCTCCCCTCCCCGACCTGTGGTTTTCCTATGGTTCGGTATGGTCTTTGACCCCCCTCATTTCTCCCCCTCCCTCCCTCCCCTCCAGGTCCTGTTCGACCTGGCTCGCCACCACGCCCCCTCCACCGTCTTCCTGGACGAGATCGACGCGCTGATGGGGGCGCGGGGCGGCGAGGGCGAGCACGAGGCCTCCCGACGCATGAAGACGGAGCTGCTGATCCAGATGGACGGACTGGCTCGCGGGGGGGAAGGGGTGTTCGTGCTGGCAGCCACCAACCTGCCCTGGGAGCTGGACATGGTGGGGGACTTGGGGGGGTGGGGGGGAAGGAAGAAGACCCAATGTGTTAAATGGGGTGTGTGTGTGAAAGGCATGCACCATGCTGTGAAGCAGGGTGGGCAGGGCAGGGTCCCGGCGGTCTGAGCTGGTCCGCACCGGTTACCCTTCCACACCTGCCTCCATCCCTCCCTCCTTCCCTCCCCCCCCCTCCCTCCATCTCGCACTCCATAGTGAAGCCTTCTCGCATGGCTAGTGTTCCCTGTCCATTCCCTGCCCTCTCGTCCCTCTCTTCCCTCTCCCCCCCCAGGCCCTCCTGCGTCGCCTGGAGAAGCGCATCCTGGTTCCGCTGCCCAGCCCCGCCGCCCGCAAGGCCATGTTCTCCACGCTGCTGGCCGGGCGGTGCGCGGCGGACGTGAGCATGGAGGCGCTGGCGGAGAGGACGGAGGGGTACAGGTGCGGAGGGGGGGGGGGCGCGGAGGGCGGATGTGGGAGGAAGAAGGAAAGAAGAAACATCGTGCGGGGGGAGAGCTGGGATAAGGAGGAGGTGCAGGTTCCGCATGGGTTGGGGTTCACAGGGTGAGTCAAGAACATGTGTTCCAACTGCCCTAACCCCTCCCCTCCACCCCCTGCATGCGCCTTCTCCCCCCTCCCCCCCTCCCCCAGTGGCAGCGATGTTGCGGTGGTGGCCAAGGAGGCGGCCATGCGCCCCCTCAGGCGCCTCATGTCACGACTGGAGCTGGATGGACCCCCCGACCCGGCGGCACGGATTGAGGTGGGGGAGGGGGTGGAATAAAGAAATTCCAATCTGTGGTGTGATAGTGGTAAATGAAGGAGGGGTTTGGGATGCGGGGGTTGAAGGGGTTGGGCGGTCCAATGTGTGCTCCAGGTGCTGATCACTGGTCATGTGGTCACCACTGCCCGCCCCTCCACCCCCCCTCCTCCTCCCCTCCAGCTGGGTCCCGTCACGGTGGAGGACGCGCGCGCCGCACTGGAGGTGAGCAAGCCCAGTGCCCGGCTGCTGGAGGAGCGGTACCGCAAGTTCAGTGAGGAGTACGGACAGACGGCGTGAGGGGAGGGGGAAATGGACGAGCTGGTAGAGAGGGAGGGGGGGAGAGGGGGAGGGGGAGAAGCAGTGGAAGAGGAAGGGGAGGAGAAGGGTGGCAGGCGGGGGGGAGTGCAAAAGGGTTAGGGGGGCGGGCGCGTGGGGACAAGGTGAGGGAGGGTTGGTAGCAGCTGGCGTCGAGAGTATGGAGGGTGGGGCAGGCTGGAAGGGTGGGGACTGCAATGCTGGCTGGGCGGGGGCGTGGTGGGCTGTGGGGTAGGCGAAGCGCCTCGCAGCGCGTGATCTTCTTGGGGCTCAGTGGAGGCGGGGGGCAGTGCAAGGGAAGAAACCAATGAAGAAGCTGGGAAGGGGTCTGTGTGAGACTCTTGCTTCGCTGCTATGGGTCCAGGGGCCCAATCCTACGTATAGCTGGTGGACCCGGTAGCCGCGTTCTGCTAGAACTTATATACTTTTTTCACAGCAACGGAGAGGGCACGAGCAAGGGCCCGTATGGCCCGCCGTTCCACGCTCGTGAAGCCCAAAAGCCCTAGCTAGCCTGCATGAAAGAGTGACGCACGCCTACTGGCTATTGCAAATTTGGCAGCGTCATAAAGGAACGTACGTTGTGCACTTAATCCAAGTGCAAATTGAGCTTTAGCTCGCCGTCACAGGTAGGGGCATGCATGACATGTGCTTCCATGTACGAAGCCATCAAAGGGAGGCCCCTAGCATTTCAAAGCTACCAGCAGAGTGCCACATGATTTAGTGTGCTTCATGATGCATTTATTTACCTTTACGCCATTACGACCTAAACAGGAACAAAAAATGGCGGTCTAAACGCTAACCATAGCCTTGGGCATCGAGTTCATATGCAGAACGTATTCTATTCGCGGCAGCAGTAACTGCTCGGTTACTATGTTTGCTCGTCCATAGTAATTGTGAACTTTCCACGCGTCAGGCCCGCAGTACATGCCCTAGGCACCTGATTTTTTCTGTTTATTAACTAACGTGACATCCGTTCTTCATTATCCGTTTCATTATTCCCCGCTCTAGCTGCATACAACAACATGGGAAGCCCCGCGGGAGCAGCCGTCAACGTCGAGCAGCTTAGGGCCTGCAAGCGGGAACTTTTTGACTACATTAACAGCCGAGGATGCAATCCCATTATGGTCCGCCTTGCCTGGCATGATAGCGGCACTTACAATAAGGTGAGCACATGACTAAGCCAGGCGACGACGCACACACTCCGGCCAATTATCAAGTCCGGCTTGCCATAAGCTTTACATAGGCCCCGGTCAACAGCCTGGCATGATTGCCTGCACTCACGGGTTGCTGGCTGTAATTGCATCTGGATGCTTCACTTATTACTTTCGTACTCGCAACCAGCGCACTACTATAACGTTTTTCCCCTGCATGTACGTCCTGTCGCGGCCGATAGGCGTTTGTTGGTCCTTAACCTCAGCGAAATGTCTGAGACACGGCTTCTGTGCTTACGCTGCCCGCTTGCCTGCTTCCCTAACCTCGCCTGGATGATTTATGATTATTCCTGGCTTTAGGAAATAGCGGAATGGCCGGCCCGTGGCGGTGCAAATGCATCCATTCGCTTCAAGCCAGAAATTGACCACGGCGCAAACAGCGGTGAGGGGTTCGGCGATGCTGAAACAGATCAGGCTTTGAGTGCCCTGCTACAATCATACCTCCTCTACCTGTCCCGGGACACTTCCAAACTACTTACTGTGTCCTGTGGGCTACAGGCCTTTCGGTTGCGCTGACTCTCTTGGAGCCTATCAAAAAGAAGTACCCCGACGTTTCCTACGCGGACCTGGTAGGATTGCCTGCCTTGCGGGGCTCTGTGGGTCTCTGTGGGCATGCGAGCGACTGTTGTATCGCCTCGGTCATGTCTACACTACATGGATTGTCACATCGTGTTTCCCTTCCTCCTGCTGTCTTTGTTATTTCTAATGCCTCCTAACGCCGGATTCGCGCTCCTGCATCATCTCGCATGCTCCTGCAGATCCAGATGGCCTCCGCGGTGGCGATTGAGGTGCGGGGTCGCGGGGAGGTTGGGGGGGGAGAGGAGGCACGCGGGTCGTGGGTTACACGGGTGGGCACACGTGGCAGCAGCAGCTGCTGCCGTTATGGCTGTGCAGTCCCTCCAAGGTTGTTGCGGGCCGGCTGCATGGATGCCGGGTACATGGATGGGGGACGGCAGATGCCAGGCGGCTCCGAAATCACCTCCTGGTCGCCCTTCCCTCCCTCCCGTCCTCCATCTCTCACGTCTTTTCCTTTACCTGCCTCCTTTTCTCCCTCCTTCCCTCCCTCCCTCCCTCCCGGGCTCCCTCCAGGCTGCCGGAGGTCCGCAGATCCCCCTGCGCTACGGCCGGCGGGATGCCACCGGCCCCGAGCAGTGCTCGCCGGAGGGCAACTTGCCAGGTGCGGGGGAGGGGGCAGGGGCAGGGACGGGAGGGGGGGCAGGGATGGGGGGGCAGCTGGCGGGCTGGGGAGCAAGCACGCTGGCAGCCTCCGGAGGGGACAACCTGAGTAGGCCCTTGGCATGCTTCAGGGAGCGTCCACGTGTGCTGCCGTTCGCAAACCGTTGGAGCCGCTTGCCGACCTCCTCCACGACACCCTCCCCTTCCTCCCCCTTCAGGCGCTGCCCACCCCTTCCCCGACGGCAGCCCCTCCCCCGCCGCCCACCTGCGTGCCGTGTTCGGCCGCATGGGCCTCACCGACCGGGATATCGTGGCGCTCAGCGGCGCGCACACGCTGGGGCGGGCGCGGCCGGACAGGAGCGGGTTCGGTGAGCTGGGGAGGTGGGGGGAAGGCGGTGGTAGGGGGGAGTAGGGGTATTAGCTAAACTGAGGCATCGTTGATAACTCCAAGACCAAAAATGCTTCTACCGTACTTCCCAGCTGGCCGCCCCTCCCCTTCCTCCTTAGGGCTGGGCGGGTCGGGCTGGCTCACATGTTGCAACCCATGTTGACGCCTTATCCCTCAGTCAGTTAGTTGTTTCCTCTTTACCCCTTCCTCCTTCTCCCGCACCCCCCCCCCAGGCAAGGAGCAGACGCGCTACACTGCCGTGGGTCCCGGCCCCTCCACCGCCAGCCCCCGCTGCGCCCACAGCGCCAAACCCCGCGGCTTCTTCGGCTTTTCGGGATGCGCCGCCGCCAGCGGTCCGCCGCTGCGTCCGGTGACGCCGCGACCCACGGGTCAGACGGGTCAGAGCTGGACCGTCAACTGGCTGGAGTTCGACAACTCCTTCTTCAGGGAGGTGCAGAAGGCCAAGCGGGATGCCGAGCTGCTGGTGCTGCCCACGGATGCGTGCCTGTTTGAGGACGAGGGGTTCAGGTGAGGAAAAGACGAATACCCAATGTGTTGAATGAGAAAGACAGGTGGGAGTGGTTTATAGCCGCGAGTAACCGAGACGCGAGTAAAGCACTGGCCGTGACCGTAGTGTGGGGCAGCAGGAAGAGGACGGGGCAGCAAGGATAAGCGAGCATTGGAAGAGCAATGCCTAGCACCCTCCCTGCTGTGCCACCCTGCTGTGTGTTTTGGCCCCTCCCAGCTTGCTTACCTCCCTGCTGTTTTCTCCCCTTGTTTTGCGTACTGAGTTAACTGTGGCTGACGTGCTGCCGTACATGTGCCGTACGCACCTAAGTGCACCCACCCACCCTCTCCCACCTCTTCAGGCCCTATGCCGAGCAGTACGCAGCCGACCAGGCGGCTTTCTTCGCGGACTACTCCGAGTCGCACCGCAGGCTGTCGGAGCTGGGAGTGGAGTGGGTGGCGGGGGGGCCGGTGAGCATCTGAGAGGGGGAGGAGCGGCTGTGCGGCATGCAAGCAGCTGGAGTGCAGTGGGTATAAAGGAAACTGGCAGCGAGTCGGAACGTGTGTATAGTCGGAATGTGTGTATGTGAGCGAGAGGAGTAGGGCAGCCAGGCGCCTGCGAGAGGGTGGGATCAGCATCCACTTCATATGCTCACCCAGCGTTTCTATCTTACTTCGTTTTTTCGAAAAAATTCTGAAAATGGCACATTTCATAAGGCAAAAAATGACCAAAATCGTCAACGTTCTTTGAGCTTTTTCAGGGCTGGTAATCGTAGAGCCTTACGATGAAACTTTGCCAAACATGCTCGAGATCGTGGGATCAACGCTCACATTTTTGCCTCACGGTCCGAAACCCGGAGCCGGAGGCACGCGCCGAGCCTGCCCAATTCAGTTTTTCCCAGCCTCCAATGGCACAGACAGGGCACAGATACCTGGTTTTGTGGGCTCAACCTTTTGTTGTTATGGTTATGGCTAGAGCGGCATAACGGGAACCTGGCTGAGCCAAACCATGCTAAAAGTTAGGAGGGGTAGCTTGTGCATGGCAGGGTTTGGGCACATACACCGCACGAGTATCGGGAACATTGCACAACCCCCACTAGGGAAAAACAAGTAAGGCAACTTGTTACCAACTTGCTGCACCCCTGACCTCCCATATGTTAGCTGGTTGGGTACATGGAACTTCTACGCCACACATGGCCAATGCACGTATACTGCTACCTATACCTTTGCTTATTGTTCCTTTCTAACCAAAGCTGTGAAGTAATGAAAATGTAGGGGGACATCCGTTAACACTCTTACATGGCAGTCCTGCATGCGGGGGGCCCCTGGGAGCAGAATGGTCCCAGGGGTCTTCTAAGGCGCAGACAGTGCAGTGGTGCAAAGTGCTGCATTGATATGGCTTCCCTTGCTTCATTGTCGAGCACCGCAGAGGCCAAGACCAACCTGGTTCTTGGGGGAATACCTCTAGTCTTGGCTGGCATACCAAGGGTGTCGTACATGCAAGAACTGCGACCATGAATTACACGCCGGCAATGACTATTAGCTTTTGTGTTCAACCTTACTGTAATAAGCTTGTCCATTACAACATTAGTTTGCAACTGCGAACACAGAATAGCCTTACTTGTGGTTTGGCGGGAACATTTATGTCATGCGATTTGCATGCGGCTTGATATTCTGCAGCAAACAAGCAATGTTTAAGAAGTTCCTAATAAAGGCTGGGCGCAAATGTGGACGTATGCGTCTTTCAGGTGGGCAAACGCTGAATGCTGTGAGCGTTACAACGACGCCCAGAACGCGTGTCTTAATCGACACCACGCCAAGTGCAAAAGCATGCAATGCTTACAACAATCGGCTGTCGCCCCTGCTGCCAGGCTGCCTTGTAAGGAAAAGCGTTGGCGGACCCTAGCATGATAACCGTGGTGGTGCGGGTCGCAATTACCGTTGGGTTTAGCTAGCAGCAGCCGGGATCCTTCACGGCCAAGGTAAGTGGGGTGATGAGGGGGAAAGTCTTTCCACTTCTAGTGGCTGACGGCACACCACCAGCACAAAAGTAACCACCGTGGGCGCGTGAGTAGGTCGGGGGGGAAAACCGACCTACTCACGCGTGAGTAGGTCGGTGGGGGGGAGACCCTCCCCCAAGAGAGCACAGGGTTAAGGCTAGCAGAAGCGCTGCACTACACTTTAGGGTACGGGCACGTCGTGAATTGGGCCCTTCCATTAGGCTGATGTAGTACCGCTGGTCAAGGCACGAAAACCTAGCAGCCCCTTTTCGAAAACGGTTTTCGAAAAAATAGGCCCTTGGGAGGCCCCGGATCGTATACGAAACATTTCAGGGGTCGACCGTGAGGGCTGTCGAAAATATTGGGCCTAAAACGTCACTTATCGTGGGGTTCCACGATCGCCCTGGAGGGAAGATAGAAACACTGTGCTCACCGGAGGGGCTTGGGCAGGGGGTGGTAATGGTGGTGGAGGCAGCCCTGGCGCTTCACCAGGAGGGGGGCCCGAACCTGAAGAGTTTGAACCTTTAAGTATACGCGTCGCCCGCTGAAATGGGGCGCCTTGATAACTACTGATCCCTTAAGTAGCCGCTGACAAGTGGAGCCGCTTGGCTTCGCCTTTGGTGACAAAGACGATTCGGTTTGCGGTCGCAACCCGAAGGGAGTATAACGGGCCCCTCCGTGATCCGGTGATCCGTGAGAGTGTGGTGACCCATGGGTCTTCCTGTCTGTTTTTGACGTGGACATGTGACATGGACAAGTGAAATGGCGTATGTTAAAAAGAGTCCATCTTTCATGAACGTTTCCTGTTTCTTTTATTCCTATTCATTTTTAATGCTGTGTGGTGGTGGCCTTTAGAGTACGAGACTATTGGGGGGTCCCACTGTGGCGGTCTGGTGTATCCTTTACTAAAGAGCACTTTATTAGTTAGTATGCGGCTATCCGGTTGTGACCCGTGTGGCCGTCAGCACTCCGTACGACATGATACCTCCCCGTATGTAAACACAGGCCGCGCTGTGCAAATGTGTTTCCGTGTATGCCTTTTGTGTACATTTCTTACAGTTACAGAAACCCCGGGTGCACCCCGGGATAGTAGCTTAGTATGTACACATGCGTTTACAGGGCACCACAGCGGTCCGCCGCATGCCGCCGCCCCCATGCAACCGGCGCACCCCCACAGCACTCCAACCTGCCAGCCAACCCCACGTCCAGCAAACACACTTGCAGCACCCTACCAACCCGTTGCCGACTACACCTTTCACACCTACTCTTCACCTTCTCCTTTTTCACCACATTCTTCTTCTACTTCTTCTTCCAACCGCAAGCTACAGCCTCCAACAGGCAATAGCAGCTGGTGGTAGCTGGCGGGGAGGAGGATACCGCCACCGCCCCTCTTGTGCCGCCCCGCCCCTATACTTGCTGTCTGGGGGCCTTCACACATGTCGGGTGGCTGGCTGGCTGGGTGCGAGGGGTCATCCGCCGCAACCCCTCATCTGACCGCACATGCGGGGACATGCCTGGCTGCAGAGCAGCAGCAGCAGCACGTGGCTGACTGCCGCACCCGACTGGCAGCCGCCGCCGTTAGGTAGCAGAGCCCACCGCCAGCAGCAGCAGCAGCAGCACCATTAGGAGGCTGCTGCTGCTGCTGCCCTCCCGCGGCACACCAACAGGAGCTGTGCTTGCTACCTCGACCTCAACTGAGAGCCGGGGATCTAGGTGAGGGTGGAGGTATGTACGGCAGCTCGTGTCGTGCTGCAGTGCTGCCAGGCGGTCTGCCTCAACACGTGGGGGACCTCTGTCGCTGTAGCTGTGCGGACCCTGGAGCTGTCCGGATGTGTCGGAGCAGGTGCAGGAAGGGCGGGGGCACGAGAAGAGGAATGGGAGGAGCGGGGGGGCGGGGAGGAGGAGGTAACAAGTAGTTGCGCAACGGCGTCCGGCACCAGAAGCGCAGGAGACCACCCATAAGCGCCAGGGACCTTCCTCTTCCTCTTCCCCCGCGTCCTTCCCAGCCCTTCAACTCGCACCAGCAGCCCGCTTCCTCCCAGCAGCACCTCCACCCGCTCCTCCTCCACCCGCTCCCCGCCCCCCCTGCTGCCGCTGCTGCTGCTGTGGTTGCTGCTGCTGCTGCTGCTGGCTCCTCCGTGTCACCACCTCGCCACTGCTCCCCACTGCTGCTGCCGCCTTACTTGCCGTACCCGCCGCCTGCCGCCCTGCCGGGGGCTGCTGCGGTTGCTCGGGCGGCGCCGCGGCATCCTGCATCTGTGGGGCATCACACGGGGGGAGGTACCGGTGGGCGCCAGCAAGCAAGCGTGACCGGGGGTGCTAACAAAACTCACCTCCACATCATCCGCCCCCAGCAGCCCGCCCGCCTCCTCCCCCGCTGCCCCCGCCTCCGCGCCCGCCACCGCTGCAGGCCCCCTGCCGGCCAGCCGAGCAGCCGCATGCGCCAACACCGCCCGGGGAGCTAGGGTGAGGGCATCCTGTGGGGGAAAAAGGAAACAACTAACTGACTGAGGGATAAGGCGTCAACATGGGTTGCATCATGTGGGCCAGCCCGACCCGCCCAGGGGGAGGGGGGGTGGGTGGGGGAGGTGATGGGAGGGGCGTTTATTGGGGCTGGGAGGTGAGCAACCCATGGCCTAACCTTACTACAAGGTTACTTCCCTTTCTCTTTTACTCCCCCACCCCGTTTCCGCGTTTTTCTCCGTTGCTTTGCCCTAACCTGTGTTTTAGTACATCAATGGACCCCCCCTTGCAACATCCCACCTTCCCCGTACCTCCCCCCTCCGTCCCCACCTGCGCCTGCTGCCTGGTGAGTCCCGCCAGCCCCGCCACCGCCGCCAGCTCCAGGGGGGAGCGCACCTCGGCGGCGGAGCGGGCGGAGCTGCTGAGCAGCAGGTTCTGGAGGGAAGGGGTAGGGGGGGAGAGAATAAGATGGAGAAGAAGGAGGAGGAATAGAGCCTTGTCGCATGGTTGGGATAGAGTTTCCTAACCCCAACACACAGGTCTCCACCAGCTCATCCAGCGCACCCCCCTGTCCTCCCCTCCCAGCCCGGTGCTCACCCTGCCCCGTGTGGCCCGCACCAGCGCCTGCGTGTTGCAGAAGAAGTTCCGCCGCGCAGTGGGCTCGCGCAGTGCGGGCGCGTAGCAGATCTGGCGGAGGGGGGATTAACAGCAGGGACACATGTTCCGCATTAGGCTGGGTGGTTGGGTCTGGAGGAGGGCAGGGAAGAGATGCAGGGGGCCAGTGGACAGTGGACAGTGAGATGGATCTACTCGATGGGTTGCTGCTGCTGAAACAGCAAGGTGCGCGCGGCGAGGTGAGCGCACACCGCATCACGGGTTACCCCGCCCCGGCCCGGCCCCTCCCCGCACGCCCCACTCCCACTCTCCCCCCCCCCCCGGTGTTTCCCCCCCACCTCAAAGTAGATGCCCCTCCGCAAGGCCGCTTTGATGGTGGGCGGGCGCAGCTTCAGCGGCAGCCGCTGACTCAGCTCCAGACTCACAACGTCCACCTCCAGACTGGTGGCGGCCTGGCGCATGGGGGAGGGGACGGCAGAGGGAGGGAGGGAGGGCGGAGTTGGAGAAAGAAACAGCAGGTGAGGCGGTGGGGCGGGAGGTGCAGGGGTGGGCGCGGGCAGGGGGGTCATGTGCCCTGCTTGTGCTGTCCTATGCACGACACATGCTGCTGCACAGGCGCCCCTAGCGGCGACTCCTCACTGCACAGTGTGCACACCACACACGCACACCCTCCTAGCCTGTTGCGCTGTGCTGTTCTGTGCTGTGCTGTGCTGTGCACCCTCCTAGTCAGATCCTATCTTGTGCTAGCTTGCCTGGTGCAGCACCCGCTCGTTCTTGGGGGTGATGGATACGATGTCGTACGAACGCACGATATCCCCCACCGCTCCGTTACCAGCAGCGGCACCACCACTGCCCCCCGCTGCCAGCTGCGCCGCTGTCACCGCGTCCGAGGCCACCAGGTTGAGTCGACTGAGCTGCCGAAGCGGGCAGGGCGGAGCCGGGGCGGAGAGGGGCTGTGCGGAGGCAGCTCCTGTTGTGGTGGTGGTGGTGGTGGAGGGGGGCAGGGTGAGGGTGGAGGTGGTGGAGCCGGAGCAGAGCGCCAGGATGCGTTTGGCTTCGGAGCTGGCGGCTGCGAGAGCGGTGAGGCTGAGGGGGGCTGAGGTGCACCTGGGGGGAGGTGGAGGAGGAGGAGGAGAGGAGGGAGGGTGTGTGTGTGGCAAGGGGTGTGGGTGTGTTTGTCAAGGCAGGACTCTGAGGGAGCATGTGTGCACGTTGAAGACGTGCTAGGCGAAACGACTTGGGAGCCCCGCTCCGGTTTGTGATCCCTAGTACTTTAAACGAGCACATGCACGGGTAAAAGCGCGGGACTGCCGAGTAAAGAAAGCTCTTGTTACCCGCTTGGATGTCCCCGTGGGTCGGTGCGGCAATATTCGTGACGTTTGCGTTTTGAGGCGCGCTGGGCGTACCTGTCAGCCTCTGAGATGCGTCCTGTTACGTTGTGCACTGTTGCAACTACGTCATAGCCGCGTGATAGCAGTGCGGCAACGCGCTCCCGATGGAGAGGCGGCTCCACGTCGTCTAGAGGAAGTGAGAGGTCTCCAAACATGGTTGAACGCAATTGTACGCGGTACGTTACAATTGTTCGTAGCCCCAAAGGCAAGCAAAGCGACAGCTAAACCTTTGTGCCGTGCGAAGCCCTTGTCTCGTCTCAGTTAGCTGTATTCGGATTGCGCCATGCAGACATAAGGGTGTAATACGCGGAGGTGTGCAAGGGACTTAGCACTTCCAGTTGACAAACTGTCGTGCATCACGGGAGTGACGAGCAGAGTAAAATCCTCGGTCATGCCCTGGGCCCCCTTTTAATGCGATAGACCGGACATAACTCAATGTTTGAATGCTTATCACAAGCCAATTTTACTTGCGCTTTTGAATGGAAGTCTTAAGCAGCCGCTAACCACGTATAAAAATAGTTGCTTCACGGTGCGGCGGCATAATGCAACCTTGACCCTGCCTTGGCTACTAGCACATGATCGAAGCTTTGCATACTTCAACGACAGCCCAGCTACCAGAAAAGAAGTGAACGCGACAGAGTGACTCTGTCCTTGGCTTTATAGTGCGGAGAAGGTCACCCCTCCATGGTGCGATTCCATTGGCACGTTGAGGATGGCCTGGGTGCCAGTGTTGGACCAGGGCAGTTGGTATACCTCAGAGACTATGGCGTGCTGCAAGCAATGGTTGAAATCGAGGTGAGAAAAATCTACTTGTACAGTGTTAAGGCCTTCCTTGCGCATCCAGACAATACAGCAACACAATTAGTAAGGCCTGCGTAGCCCCGCTAGTTGATAAGCCCCGACAGCTGCGTGCGCGTGAGTCGTAGTTCCCGCGCCTTCAATCGCCACGCTTCCCTCATTTCTTTGACACTCCTGACATTCCTTCGGGCGCACATGCCCTCCCTGGATGGCTCTCCTTCTTGGCTCACCCCCGCAGATGCCCGGGGGTGGCACCTTGGAGGCGTGCATGACCATTCCGCAGAACTACAACACCGACTCCGGGGTCAGTTGTTGGGGCCGCAGTCCGTAGCGCGCGTCTCCATGAACCGTCCTTCCCAGTCCCCCCGTGCGCCCATCCATATGGGGCACATCCGCGCCTGGGGGTGGTCCTTCCTAACCCCCTCCTCCTCCCTCTCCTCCCCCCTCTCCCCCTTCTCCCTCCTTACCCCCCAGGTGAAGGAGCTGGGAGTGGTGCTGGCCGCTCCCGGCTGCGAGGCGGGCGACTGGCGGGGCAGGCTGCTGAGCGAGGTGGCGGTGGGGCTGGCGAGGTCAGGTGAGGGGGAGGGGGAGAGAAAGAGAGAGATGCGACGGGAGAGAAGGTGCGGCACCTATCCCCGCATGCCTGCTACCTCACTCCCTTGCTGCTGCACGCCCGCCCCCTCTCTGTTGAGTCTTCCTCCCCCTCCCCCCCCACAGGCTTCCTGGTGGTCCGCGCCATCTTTCCGCCCGCCGCCCGCTCCGACCCCGCCCGCGCCGCGCTGCTGGACCGCGTGTGCGACGCAGCGGCCACCAGCCCCTACGCGCGCGGGGTGACGCGCTGGCTGCTGGCGGGGCTGGGCGGCGGGGCGCGGGTGGCGGCGCTGGCGGGGCCGCGGCTGCGGAGCGGGGTGGCGGGGTACGCGCTGCTGTCGTACCCGCTGATGGTGAGGGATGGGGGCAGGGGCAAGGGGTGGCATCTAGATGGGGTTATGTTGCATGATCACAGCCAGGCCGGCAACCAAACTACCGTACAGGGCGCTTTTTCCTTCCTTGCCTCTGTAAACCACTTTCCTATTCATAAGAAATGGGCCTCCCGCCACTGCAGGAGCCCATGCAGCTGGAGGATCCACAGCAGCAGCAGCAGCCAGGCTCCCCAACCTCCACCCCGCCGGCGGCAGCAGCCGCCCCGGACTCCTCCGGGCCGCTGCTGGGCCTGACGGCGCCCCTGCTGTTCGTGACGGCCGCCACTGACCCGTGGGTCAGCGAGGCGGCACTGGTGGAACTGGGACCGCGGCTGGCTAGCCCGGATGTACGGAGCGTGGTGGTGCCGGTGAGTGGGAGGGGGGGGACGGGGTGAGGACTGAGGACCAATCCACCGCTGCTGCTGGGGTGAACTCGGGTGGTGATGTGGGTGCAAAGTGGCGAGACATGTACAACCCGCAACCACAAGGGCCATGGCTGCGAGGAGTAAACAAACAAACCGTGCGCGCGCTGATAATCCCCTCCCCTCCTCCCCCTTCCTTCCTGCGTCACCCACTTCAGGACGTGGACAGCCACTTCCGCACCCCCACCGGCAAGGGCCCCCTGGCCCCCACCGTGCGGGCGGTGCTGGCGGCGCTGTTGGAGCTGCTGCATCCGGCCGCAGCGTACCGCATGGACGTGTGCAAGCTGCCGCGGATATGGAGGGCGGGGGCGGCAGCGGGCGGGCAGGCGGGAGGGGAGGCGGGCGCTGGTGCGGGGGCGGAGGCGGGAGGGGAGGGCGGCGGAGGCAAGGTAGACCGACCGCAGCTGCAACGACCGGCTTGCTTCAGGTGGGGTGGGGGTTGCGGGTGCTCATTTGGTTGAGAGTTATGATGTTAGTGGTATGTTGTTGGTGAATCTTCTCCATCTTCCCTATCCGGCTGTTTTTAAGAGAGCAGCTTCTTCTCAGGCCGAAGAGGCTTAGGAGGTGTAATCTTAAAATGAAAGCTTATTCTTCGATCATTATTTGCATTACGTCCGCGTACTACCGTAACCCTGAGCTACCTGCCACAACACACCTGTTGCCGCTGATGACGGCCTCTACCCTCCCGCCCCATCCCCTTCCACCAGGCCCATCCCAACCGGACCCCCACCGCCGCCTCTCCAGCCGCAGCAACTCCAACCGCACCAGCAGCACCAATTCGCCGTACAGGGGCTGTCGTACAGCCTCTCCGCGGCGGCGCAAGCGGCGCTAGCGGCGCAGCTGCAGCAACAGCAGCAGCGTCAGGTCGCCGCCGCTGCCGCCGTCGCTGCCAGCCCACAGCAGCAAGCTAATGCGGCGGCGGCGGCGCAGCTGCTTGCTCAGCAGATGCTGCTGCAGCAGGCGGCAGCCGCGGCGGCGGCGGCAGCGCAGCAGCAGCAGCAGCTGCGGGGTTCGGAGCCCGCGGAGGCGGGGGCCACCTCGGCGGCGGCTGTGGCGGCTAAGCTGGCGGCTGCTGCGGCGCCGGGTCGGGGGGGCACCGCTAACGCTACTGCAGCAGCAGGGGGGCCACAGCAACCGCAGTTAGCAGGTCTGGCCCAAGCGCTCAGTGACCCCGCCGCGGCTGCTCAGCTGGCAGCGGTGCTGCTGCGGAGTACGGCAGCGCAGCAGCAGCAGCTGTTGCAGCTGGGTGTGCAGCAGCAACAGCAGGCGGCGGCGGGGGGAACAGCAGCAGGAGGAGGAGGAGGAGGGACGACCATGGATGCTTTGACGTCGGTGTTGGTCCAGCGGTTAGCGCAGCAACAGCAGCAACAGCAACAAGGGGCGCAGCAGGCGAGTCAGTTGTTAGCGGCGGCTACATTGCTCAAGCAGCAGCAACAACAACAGCAGCAGCAGCCGTTGCAGCTGCAGCTTCAGGCAGCAGCGGCAGTAGCGGGGGGAGCAGGTGCAGCAACATCCACAACGGCGGCGCAGCACCAACAGCAACAACTCCAACAGCTCCTCCTTCAACACCAACGGCACCAACAGCAACAACAGCTGCTACAACAGCAGCAACAGCTCCTCCTACAACAGCACCAACAACACCAGCAGCAGCAGCGGCAACAACAGCAGCAGCCGCCTGCGGACCTGCAGCATGCGTTGTTGCTGCAGGGGCATGCAGCAGCCGGCATGAACCCTTCCGCGGTGCTGCAGGCAGCTCTGCGACAGCAACAAGAGGGGCTCGTTTCGGCGGCTGCGGCAGGCGTCGGGGCAGGAGGAGGAGGCGGAGGGGGAGATGTGAACATGGCCGATGCGGGGACATCGTAGGGCTATCGTAGTGCTGGGGTAGGTAGGTTGGACTGGATTGGAGTGGCAGCACAGTGGTAGGAGAGCGGGCGGGTAGTGCATGGCGGGGGAGTTGGGTTGGTGGGTCATTGGGTAAGGGGTTGCGGAGGCGTTTTCGTGAGGGTTGAAGAGGAACAGGTAGGAGTACATAGGAATTGTATGGTGGCCCAGGAGGGGGGTGGCTGCATTGCAGACATGGTTTCCTTTAGACGTGGAGCACAGCAGCAGCAGTAGCGATGGAGGATGGACTTTCGTCGGCATATCCCGAACCCGCACGCATGCGTGTGGGGTCTGTGTGACGGACTGGCGCACATTACCGGTAGCGACACAAGGAATATGCTTGGACATCTAGTTGTGTGTTATAGGCCAACTGGGTCCCCAGTGGGGAATGGCTTTGCTTTAAGAGATGAAAACAAGTCCCTCTGGAAGGGGGCAGCATACCAACGGAGCAGGAGCCTTCCGTGTGTCTTCTAGGGGTTCGTTGCTGCGGCGGGTACACCATGCAGGAAGGCGCCATGGAGTCTTAGGTTGCACCCACGACCCAGGGGATTTGCAGGAAACCGCTGAGCCACTTTACAGGGAGAAGCAACAATGGTCAAAACATGCGCAGGGCCCTGAAACACCGCTGTGTAGCTGTTGCGGTGTTCGGCAGCCGTTGCATGCGCCCCCCTACAACGGCAGCTCCACCAGTGGCGGCACCAGCGGAGAGGTGGCAGCATGGCGGGATCTGCTGGTGGTGGGGCGAGGCACGCCTCATCAACAGGACAGGACAGGAGATGACGGCTGCGTGGAGGGGCGCCCTCTGGGACAGCGCCACATGGTGGGTCTGCAAGCCCGAATCGGTGTGGAGTATAGCAGTTGGAAGCCGTGCGGGCGCGACTGGTGCGACGTTAAGACATGGCACATGAGCTAGAGGCGCTGACGATATATAGCCAATACGTTGCCTGTGCAGTTGTGACTTGGTAATGCGAAGCGGCGGTCGCAGTTAGGGAGGCACATGGGCAGGAGGCGCGCGCGGCGCGCGCGGGAAGGGGCCAGCCGAGCTTGTATTGTAAGTACCGGATTCAGGGAAACCTAATAGTCATCTGTCCCCTCCACTACCAAACATAGCGTGAACGGACGGTCGCTGCAAAGGACAGCAGTGCGGTTGTACGACGCCAGTTTGGACTGATTATATGACCTTCGAGCTCGCTTGTGCAGGCACAAGGCGTTGAAAATGTCGCGGTGGAGTATACTTGCTCTTCTTCTAGGGCTGCTGCTTGTAGCAGCCCCATTCTCCAAGCACCAGCTCGCCGCAGCATCTGATGAGTATGATGACGACGACGAGGATGCTCCTAGCGCTCCCAAGGACGATGATGAGAAGGACGTTGTAGTTGTGACTGTCAAGAACTGGGATGATACTGTCAAGAAGGCCAAGTTCGCCCTTGTGGAGTAAGTCTGCAAGATCGCAGCCATGTTTGTCAAATGCCTCCACCCCTAACACGAACCGAACACGCGTCTACCCTCTTACAGGTTCTACGCTCCCTGGTGCGGTCACTGCAAGGTGCGTTGAGCTTGGCGACGTTTCCGTAAAGTGCAGCATGGCGATCTGGGTGCCTTTACGTGTTGCAGAGCCTCAAGCCCCATTATGCCAAGGCTGCCACGATCTTGAAGGCGGCAGTGCCTGATGCTATCATCGCCAAGGTAAGCAGCTTAGGCTATGGTCTTTTGGCAGAAACTGCATCTTGCATTAGTACACAACAAAATGCAGCTGTGAACGCTCTATGCACTTTATACAGGTCGACGCCACCGTTGAGGAGTCGCTGGGCAGCAAGTTCAGCGTCCAGGGCTATCCTACTCTCAAGTGGTTCGTTGATGGCGAGCTGGTTTCGGACTACGGTGGCTCCCGCGACACGTGAGTACAGCGAAATGACCTACTTGCTGCGATCCTTACTTAACCCTACGGATTTTACCGGAAATTGCGGGGACAATCCAGGAGGTCAGGGCGGCGGGCAGTTGCTGTTGGCGGGACGTGACGGCTTTGCTGGGCTTGCATGCAAGGCATGTTTGGGTTGTTGCCCTCTGGTCCCCTTTGTCTGCTGCTACCGTATTTCTCCCAGACAACGAGCTGCCCAAGATCACGCTAGCCAGTCAAATACCCGTCCTCACCCTTACCTGATCATCCCCTCATGCGCCTCCCCCTCTTCTCCCCTGCTTCCCCCTCGCGCAGTGAGGGTATCGTTAACTGGGTCAAGAAGAAGACCGGCCCGCCCGCCGTGAGCGTGGAGGACGCCGACAAGCTCAAGTCGCTGGAGGCTGACAACGAGGTGCTGGTGCTGGGCTACTTCAGCGAGCTCAAGGTGGGGGCGGGGGGGGGGGGTAAAGAGGAAACAACGAACTGACCGTGTGATAAGGCATCATCATGGTTTGCAAAATGTGAGCCAGCCCGACCCGCCCAGCCCGAAATAACCTGGCTTGGTTGATGTGGGTTGGTCTGGGTGGGTTGGTTTGGTTGATTTGGGTGCATGTTGTAGTCTCGCTGGGCAAGTGGGCATGCTGCAGCCTCGGTGGTCTCACTGGGTCAGCATGCAGCATGACTGGGCCCTCCCAGTGGCCCCTACTACTGCGACGCGCTGGGGTCTGGGAGGTGCCGTATTGCACTTGTGCACTGCATCGAGAGGGCATGCGCATGCGGAGAGTATTGGCCAGGCAGAGAGAGGATTGCTTAGGTGGAGGGCGAAGTTACCAGCAGTCGCTTGCAATGGGAGGACGACTGGGTGCCGAGGCCGCCCTGGTAGCCTCTCTAGGGTTCGGGGACCGTACTGACTTGCCGTACGACCCGGCGTGTCATGTCATGGCCCTCGTGGCTATATACTCAAGGACTTCCGTATTTGATTGACTTCGTTGGCCATGTGTGCCGTACGACAGCCCTTCATGGATGGATGACCACATGCGGGTGCTGCTCCGGTCATTGTGCCCCCCTCCCACTCTTATCGTCTCCCCTCCCCAATGCTGTCCACAGCTACAGGAAGAGTATATAGCTGCTTCACAGAACCCCAAAGCCCGACCCATATTCCCGCCTTGCTGCTGCTTGGTCCCCCGCCCCTGCCTCCCAGCTCCGCTCACTTACATACATCCACCCATCCATTCACCATGGACGTTCACCTTCCTTCACAGCATGACAATACCCAACACCTCTTAATCCTCTCCTCACCCCCGCCCCGCCCTGCGTCCGCCAGGGTGCTGACTACGAGACCTTCAAGTCCTTCGCCTCCAAGACCGAGGACGTGGCCTTCGCTGAGACCACCAGCGCCGAGGTTGCCCAGGCTGCGGGTCTGGAGGCGGCCGGCACCGTGGCTGTCATCAAGAACTTCCCTGGTGGGGGCGGGGCTGCTTGGGAGAGAGAAGGCTAACATTGGAATGAGCAGGCTGCTAGGGGGGCAGAGGAGCTGTGGGGTTCCTGCCATAGACCAGTACCGGTAATGCTGCGTACTGCCTGCCTGCGCAGCTCCACCACAGCACGGCACTAGACGTACAGACGAACCCGACCTTACCCTCCCACATGCCCACCACCCCCACACCCCCCCCCACTGCCATTGCTGCTGCTGCCTCCTGCTCCGTGATGCCGCAACTCCCTGCTTCCTCCCCTCGCCGCCTCAGCCTACTTACCACACATATGCCGCCCTCACCCATCCCACCCTGCAGGTGAGGCTCGCGAGGTTGCCGTCAGCTCCGACCTGTCCGGTCTGGAGGCGTTCGTGAAGGGCGAGAAGCTGCCCGCCACCATCGAGTTCAGCCAGGAGAACAGCGGCAAGATCTTCAACAGCGGCATCCCCAAGCAGCTCATCCTGTGGGCTAGCCCCGATGAGCTGGCGGCTGATGCGGAGGTGGGGAGGGGGTGGAGGGCCAGGGCGAGCGAGGAAGGGTTTATGTGTGAACAGGGGGGGTTGAACGGGGGGGTTGGGGCTGCGGCCAAGGTGGTCGGGGGCCCCGAGCTATGCTTGCATCAGCAGCTGACAGTATCAGTGATAATGATGCGGCTACATCTCGTTTGCCATTATTCGATTACACACTAGGTATCCTTCCCTCCCACCTCCCCCGCTCCCCCCCAGGTGATGTCCGCCTACCGCGCCGCCTCCAAGAAGTTCAAGGGCCAGCTGGTGTTCGTAACGGTCAACAACGAGGGCGAGGGCTCTGAGCCCGTCACCAACTTCTTTGGACTCAAGGGCGCCAGCTCGCCAGTGGTGGGTCTCCTAGCGGGCTGGAGGAGAAGAGGGGGGATTCGCAGGGGAGCGACGGAGCTGTGTCCGATGGGCGCCCTTACGTGCATGCTGACGTTTCCCCCAATGCCTTGCCATAACCGCCCGTGCATCATTCTGTTTTGGTTTCGGTTTCTCATCTCATCCCCCTCTTCACCCCTCCTTCCTCCCTCAGCTGCTGGGCTTCCACATGGAGAAGAACCGCAAGTACAAGCTGTCGGAGCCGCTCACTGCCGCCTCCGTGGAGGCCTTCGCCGCCTCCGTGGCCGACGGCTCCGCGCAGCCCGAGTACAAGAGCCAGCCGGTTCCCGAGGACCCGGTGGAGGAGGGTGTGACGGTGGTGGTGGGCAAGAGCGTGGACAGCGTTGTGATGGACCCCACCAAGGATGTGCTGCTGGAGGTGGGGCGGGGGCAGGGCTGCGGGGGGCGCGGTTAGGGTGGGTGGGAGGAAGATGGAGGGGCAGTCAGGACTTTGGAGGAGGAGAAACACCGTGCTTTGGTATGCGTTACCGTATCCCCACTGCCTTGCCCTATCATGCGGTTTCATTTGGTTTTGTTTATTCGGTCTGACCCCGCTCACCCCACCCCTCACCCCAGGTGTACGCCCCCTGGTGCGGCCACTGCAAGCAGCTGGAGCCCACCTACAAGAAGCTGGCCAAGCGCTTCAAGAAGGTGAGCAGCGTGGTGATCGCCAAGATGGACGGCACGGAGAACGAGCACCCCAGCATCGAGGTCAAGGGCTTCCCCACGATCATCTTCTTCCCCGCGGGTGAGGACAAGACGCCCATCGCCCTCGAGGGAGGCGACCGCTCGCTCAAGGCACTCACCAAGTTCATTAAGGTAGGAAATAGGAAGGGGGGTGGGGGGGGTGCGGAAAGGGGAGGGCAGTTTGAGGGGCAGCGAGGGGCGGGGTTGCTTGATATGACGTATGGATTCGGCGGAGTTGCTGGGGCCGTCGTGTCACATCCCGCCCCGGAGCAATATTGGAATACAGGGTGCTTCACGTTGTCTCTCTTTCTTTCCCCCACCAATCCTGTCCCAATGATGTGCCGCCCCGCAGTCCAAGGCCAAGATTCCGTACGAGCTTCCCAAGAAGTCGGGCGGCGCTGAGGAGGCTGCGTCGGAGAAGGACGAGCTGTAAATTGCTGTGTGCTACTCCCGCTGCTGATGTTGTTGTCGCTGGTTTGTGTTTCGTGTTCAAGCAACGTTTGGGACGATGTTTAAGAATCGAAGATTCGACGACCCTAGACTACCGTAATAGTTGAAGACTCAGCAGAACCAAACCCAACAATAACGCGCCTGTGCTTTCCGACTCACGATGCTGAGGAGGAGTACAGGCAGCTGCTGCTACGCGTGTTGCCCCGCTGGGAGACGTTTGCGTCGGAGCGTCGGAGGGGGGGGATCGGATGCCTGCATGGGGTACCCGTTGAGGTGGCCGGTGTACGGTGGTGGGCGTAACCAGCGGTATGCGCCGGGGTGTGGAACCTGGTATGTGGGTTTGTTGCCGTGTGCTGCACAATGTGTGCATCAGTGTGCATATTTGTGTTGTTGGTGGGGTATGTGCATGCCACATGAAACCGTGAATACCCGGTACATAAGAAGCCGTGAGATGTGAGACACAGGTCGTCTGCCTTTCCCTATGTAAGCCTTCGTAAGGAAGGCGTCCCCTGTCCAGTCGGGTTGTTTCCGTGTGCGTTTCCGTAGGTCGGGTTAACGGAGCAGGGCTGGGCTAAGGAAGAGGGGCTGGCATCCGCAAAGCATTACTCCTACGCAAAGCATTACTCCTACGCAAAACAAATCCCCCTTCCCGTAGCCGAAGATCCAAACGTCAACGTGCGAAAGCTCAAGCCTTCACACTAGCCAGGAGACGCCGTAACCCACAAGGCCCTCTCCATCTCTCATTCCAGCGCTGCAACTACTTTAACGGATCGTTGAGGGCCTACCAGGGTAAGCACGCATGCATGACAGCGGCTAGCCAGTGTAAGGCAGGGCACTCCCATGGAGGGGAACTCAATGCATGCTGGTGGTGAAGGGTGAACGAAGAATGAAAGCGGTGGGTGCTAGGTCGGCGGGTGCCAGGTCGGCGGGTGCTAGGTCGGCGGGTGCTAGGTCGGCGGGTGCCAGGTCGGCGGGTGCTAGGTCGGCGGGTGCTAGGTCGGTGGGTGCTAGGTCAGCGGGGGCTAGGTCAGCGGGGGCTAGGTCAGCGGGGGCTAGGTCGGTGGGGGCTAGGTCGGTGGGGGCTAGGTCGGTGGGGGCTAGGTCGGTGGGTTCAGGTCGGCGGGAGCTAGGTCGGCGAGTGCTAGGTCTGCGGGTGCTAGGTCGGCGGGTGCGGGGTCGGCGGGTGCTAGGTCGGTGGGTGCTAGGTCGGCGGGTGCTAGGTCTGCGGGTGCGGGGTCGGCGGGTGCTAGGTCGGTGGGTGCTAGGTCGGCGAGTGCTAGGTCTGCGGGTGCTAGGTCGGCGGGTGCGGGGTCGGCGGGCGCTGGGTCTGCGGGTCCATACCCTTGCCCCTGTCACCTACAATACCCTCAACCCTGGCCCCTCATCTTTTGACACCCGCCCTTGGTCAATGGACGAAGTTGCATAGCTAGCATGCAACTTCCATACGCATGAGATCCCCGAACCGTGTGCCGACCATCTTGCAGGCGGGGCTCGTGCTTGGTATGCATGTCGAACAGGTGACGCACTTAGGTGCAGGCCAGGAAGGCCTCCTTGGGCAAGATGTGTGAATTCAGCAGCCGTGGCATTACCGGACATGGTCTCAAAAGGTATGCTGTTGAATTTCTCTTAAAGGCTGGTCCAGCGATGGCCAAGGCTTGTTGGGACATGGGCAGCAAACCTGCCTAACGCTTGCCACCGCTTCGAACTAGCCAGTCATAAATGCAAAGTGAAATAAACAATTATATTTTCACAAGCAGGTGGATATGCAAAGTGGAGTGGATTTGACGTTTGGATTAAAATGACAGCCACGGACAAGATAGTCACACAATGAGATAGCACCGCATATTATTCCACGAGTAAAACAACAGGTAGAAACAGTAAACATCCAGTATAGGTGGTGTTGAGAAACACCGTTTTTTCAGTTGTCGGAGTTACACACGATCCAGGGCCAGCCTCTGAGTGTTTAAGCGCGCTCGCCACGAATGCGGCGGGCCAGCTGAATGTCCTTGGGCATGATGGTCACACGCTTGGCGTGGATGGCGCACAGGTTGGTATCCTCGAACAGGCCGACAAGGTAGGCCTCAGCGGCCTCCTGAAGGGCCAGCACGGCCTGGCTCTGGAAGCGCAGGTCGGTCTTGAAGTCCTGGGCAATCTCACGCACCAGGCGCTGGAAGGGGAGCTTACGGATGAGCAGCTCAGTGCTCTTCTGGTACTTGCGGATCTCACGCAAAGCGACGGTGCCCGGTCGGTACCTAATATCAGAAGCCAAAGAGCGGGTGAGTTGGCAAGTACCAGTACGAAAATGAGTGAAAAGATGGGAAGCGGTGGTAACAAAAGTAATAAAGAGTAGGAAGCTTACCTGTGAGGCTTCTTGACACCGCCAGTAGCGGGCGTCTTGCGAGCGGCCTTGGTGGCCAGCTGCTTGCGGGGCGCCTTGCCGCCGGTGGACTTGCGAGCAGTCTGCTTGGTGCGGGCCATTTTTGAGTAGGAAGAAGATTTTATGACTTGTACTGTGTCTGTGTATAAAGTCAAGTGCGGATGGCAATTAAATAGTGCCGGGCACGGATGCGTACGTGCACGTACGACGGTCGTTGCCTCGGTGAGTACCGTTGACCCAGTGAGCATTTCGGCGCGAAGTGCTCTTCCTTTCAGATAAATACACCCGTTTTACTCGCGAAAAATTCAACCTCTCTTATTTCTTTCTTCACAACATAATTATTCAATATGTCTGGACGCGGTAAGGGCGGCAAGGGTCTTGGAAAGGGCGGTGCCAAGCGCCATCGCAAGGTTCTCCGCGATAACATTCAGGGCATTACCAAGCCCGCTATTCGCCGTCTGGCTCGTCGTGGTGGCGTCAAGCGTATCAGCGGCCTCATCTACGAGGAGACCCGCACCGTTCTGAAGACTTTCCTGGAGAACGTTATTAGGGACTCGGTCACCTACACCGAGCACGCTCGCCGCAAGACCGTGACTGCTATGGACGTCGTGTATGCCCTGAAGCGCCAGGGCCGCACCCTCTATGGCTTCGGTGGTTGAGCTGGTTGTCTTGCTGCTAGCCTTCAGCTTGCTCCTTCAATTCCCGGTGTTTTTGGGCGGAGCCCCCGCCGCGAAGCGGCTTCGGGGGGGCTTCGCCCCCCAGGATTGCCCCTGTCCGTGTGTCCGTGTGTCCGTGTGTCCGTCCGTAACGGCAAAACATACAATCTAGACAAAACTATTTATTGCACCTAATAGATATTTGTTATCTGTATTCAGTAAAAATAACTGGAAGCCAAACAAACTTAATTTCGCAACAAACGATTTATTGACCAGCCATTGAACAAGGACCACCTCGGCAACAGCGATTAGCGCTCCTCTATGGTTTGTCCTGGTACCGTAAACAGTATTTAGTGAATTGGTAACAGCGGCGTGTGGCCAAAGGGCTACCTGTGAAAGTCGGCGGGAGCATGCTCGCATCTACTGTGCTACTCAGAGCCCACACAATCCTTTGGGACGATGTTGCACGCCTTTGCTATGGGTTTATGCGTATGAACTGTAACGCAAACGGGTACGGGATACCTCGCTTATAAGCTAACATGTCATGTGACGGCGCAATGGCTGAAGTCCTTCTGAGCACGATGCCGAGATTGAGGAGCCTGACCTCCTCATCATGTTAGTAATGTAGGTGAAACTCTGCGGGACCCTGAAAGCACTTCCATGTGGCAGTTACGCCGTCGATTTGGGTTCTGTAGCCTAAGGCGTGGGTGTTATCAAGCATGATAAGACGTTACTAAGTACTCGATTGAACAGGCGTAACCTAACAATGTGTGCAATGAGTGAGGACACTATGTACGCCATGGGTGAACAAGGCGGCCGGCCTCGGCTGGACAAGGGGCTCTGAGCCCGTCTAGTCATGCAACGAGCACTAAAACTACAGTAAACAAGGGGGTTCAGCGTCCGTATAACGAGGTGTGTTAGGTCAACTGGTGCCGTGGAGTCACAGGAGCGCATTCCAGGTCTATAAGGCCCATAGGGTTGTGCGTCGCACTTGAGTCGTTCCACTCCCCTGTAATAATCGCAATCATTCCAGTGGTAATAATACGTTCCTGTACTAAAGAGGAGGGGCTCCGCCCTTTTCCAGCTTTGAGGAAGCTGAAACCCCCTTGTTCAACACCACCAAAAGAATGGACTTGTTTTGTCCTATTGTTGTCTTCCTAGTCGGTCGGGGCCTGGGCTGGCAACATTGGGGAACGGTTCCATGTTTTGAAATTATGCTGAACTTCCTTCAATTATAACTTAAGTCACCTGGACCTGCCTGCCGTCATGCTTTGTCTGATGCCCTCTTTACTCCTGGTCATTTGGTTCCCTCCCCACTCCCCTGCCTTAACCTGTGGTTTGGTACGGTCTTTGACTCCCATGCCCGCTTGACAACAATCTATCTGGGTTACAAGGCATGTGCAGATGGCAGTGACGACTGCAACAGCAGCGCATACGGCCCTCCGCTAGTGACTTCCTCCGTCAGCCAGGCTTGCACCAAAATACTCAAGCCCAGTGGGCATTGTCCGGCTGTAGTGCTGTGTTCTATCTGGGCATGCCTAGGGTGGTAAAATGTTCTTCTCCGTCAGGGCTTGACTGACAGAGTTATACGGAGCCATGTCAATGATGGGTACTGGACTTCACAGGGTCAGAACTTGCTCGGCTCAAATTGTATGCCCTTCTAACATCAGGGGGGAGAGTGTGAGAGTCCCAGGTTTCGTGGTAACGGACGGAAAGCTTCCCTTGGGGCTTGGTACGCTTCATGCATGGTAGTGTGCAGGCAGGAAGGAATTACCTGTGCATTTGCGACCTTGTCGGCCCTGGGGACTAGCGTACAAAAAATGTGAATCGTATGGTACCATGAGAACAACCAAGGGTGCCATAGTTGAGATCTATGCAATGGAGAGTGGGGTCTGCAGGAATATGTGATTGTCATGCACCCTACTGTGCCGGAACTTTCTCACCCTACGTTCTTGAAGGAGGAAGGGCTGCACGGGTGAGAGCGCTCGTTCCCTAAAGCGCCTTCCTAGGATATTTCCAGCTTGCTCATGCAAACAAGTGGCGGCGGCGAATTCCGGGAACTGGACCTCTTGTGCGAAGACGTGGAAGCACGTGCAGATCTGGATGTCTTGAATACATCCTTGTGCCTAGCCTGGGCAGCCTTGGGCAAATAAACATGGCTACTACTTATGTAGGCACGATTAGTTTACACAAAGCGGTTAAACAACATTTATTCGGACGAGCCTGCTTGGGGCCAGGCACGCACCCCGCCACATAACCGGCACAGCTCATTATGTACAAATGGCCGTTACGATGCCCCTCAGTAGATTCTCAACACCCTACAATCTATAGTAAGGAACATCAGTGTTTGAACACCACCTGCACCGATATCCCGTAATATGGCCCGTTGGGCCTTCAATTGGAGCTCACCAAGGCCATTAGTCGGCATTATCCATGTAAAAAAATAGGTAAAACAGCCGACGTAACCGAGTGCATGAGTTGAAACTCAATGCGCGCGGCATATGCGAGCCACACACGTTCCAATAACGAAAACCGTCATCATTGATGCATACATGTCAACTCTTTCTTACCAGTTCGTCACGAGAATGTCAGCCATAACTGGATGCAAACAGCGCACGCCCTCTCCTGCAATTATGCCCAGCCGCAAATTCCGGTGTGCGGCATTGAGCTCAAACGGCCGTGCCATGCAATTCCAGATCCGCCGCTTGTCGCCGCCTTGGTCCCAACATGGTAATTGAGGTAGTTGGAAGCAACTCAAGGCCGCCGTCAGCCGCAAGGGCCGCCGGCGCAACGCATGCAAGGACGCGCCACTCATGTAAGGGCGCATGCGCTGGGCTGGAAGACGTCTGTTGCGCACAAACACACCGCCCGAAGCTACACAGTTCCAATAAACGAGAAAGAACCTCCAAACACAGCAGCGTCCTCCGCCAGCCAGTTCCCTGAATCCAGAACTAGCAACCACCTGTTTGACTCTAGCGCTTCCGCAAAGTCACGTCCAATGTAAGCTCTCCATCGGGAGCACAGATAGGATTTATGGTTTACGCCTCGACGGCGCGTCAGACACCCGCGCGCATTTGACACGTGGACAGTCAAGAGGTACTTAACACCGGGCCAATCATAACCAGACACAATCGAGTCAAAACACAGTCAGTTAGAAGTGGCCCAGCGAGAGCATAATGCATGATCAGGATCGCCTCCACGTCAGATCAACAACCCCGCCACCTAAATCACACAGCCATCAGCTGCTCACCCTCCTCCACTTCCGGTTTCCTTCCTCCACCTTCAACCCCTTAGATCCGCCCACCCAGGCTGCGCCTGCTCGCCTGCGACTTGCGCCACTCCTCCTGGGTCTTCTCCGCGCCCGTGTCCAACACAAGATCGCAGCGCTTGCAGCTGGCCACGCACTTGCCGGGGCGCGCACGCGTGCCCACCATGAAGCCCTGGTTGCGCTCGCACTCGCCCGACTCAGCCCACTCGGGGCACATCTCGTCCGAGTCCTCGCAGCCGGGCGGCAGGTCGGAGCGGACCTTGGGCTGCGGGTGCTGCTCAATCATCTCGGGCCGCTCGCCGCCCATGGCGTAGTGGCCGACGTGGATCCACTTGGCGGCGCTCCACTTGATTCCGCGGATGACGGGGCAGGCGGTGTGCAGCGAGCGGCGCTCCAGCTCGCCCGTGGGCTTGATGGAGTGGAAGAGGATGGCCGTGCCCTTCTTGGGCTTGGCGGCCAGGTGGTAGCGGGCGCACTCGGAGAAGCCCACGTTCTCACCGCCGGGGGCAGCCACGTTGGGGAACACCGTCTCACCGCCCTCCTGTGGAAGGGGAAGGGGACGGAGGGAGAGGAGTGAGCGGAGGGGACCGGGGGAAGGAATGACGTGGCTGGGTAGCAGCAAGCAAGTGCGACCCAAGAAGCCAAGATGCGCTCGTGGCCAAGCCAGCTAGGGTGCGTTGAGGGTAACCCAGATGCCCATACGCCCCGACCCCCATCCACACATCTCACCCCTGCTTGTCGCCCTCCCTCACCCCTCCCTGCTGCCATATCCTCCCTATCCTATAAATCCATGCATGGGTCGTGTTCTTTCCCCTCCTCCCCTCACCTCCGTGTCCACCAGGTACATGAGCACAGTGGCGTAGCGGTTGCCGCCGTTGGCGATACCGTCCTTGTGGAAGAAGTAGTCCCACTGAGGGAGGAAGGGAGGTGGGAGGAGGGGGCGGGAGGCGGAGTGGGGGCCTAGTTATGGGCAGCTAAGCAAACGGCAGGAACGCCCAATTTGGAACGGGCTATTAAGGAAGCCTAGGTATCAGCGAATTATGGGAGTTTTCCCAGGGTGAGGCTGGATGAGAGGTATACAGCTACACAGAGCTGGCAAAACAGGCTCCAGCGGCGACGGTATGGGCACAGGAATCGGCGCCGCATATAGTAGGGGTGCAGTTGAGGCGGTGAACGGCCCTTCCGAACAAACCCAAAGCATAACCTGCCAAACCCCTAAATACATCCTTAACGCCCATCATTAGCCACGCAGGTCTATGTGCAAATCGCTAGCCAATCCGAGTTTCCCAGGGGCAAACTACCGGTACTCACGTGGGCATCGTACTTCTGCTCCTTCTGGTAGCGGAGGACCTGAAGACCCTCGCCGTTGCCAACGGGCATAAGCGTCCAAGCAGCAATGCGCTCTTCAATGCGCTTTACAATCGGGTCCTCTCCACGCTCAAGGAAGACGCCGAATGAGGTTCGAATTTTGGACGTCTCGCTGCCGCCATCGTTGCCGACAACGCCAGAGCGCTCCAGACGCCTTTCAGAAATCGTTACAATGTGATCGGCCTCCTCTGCGCAATTGAGAGGTTGGTGGGTGCCCAACAGGTTCTCGTTATTATCGGAATAGGAGGGAGGAAACAACGACGAACGTAAAGTTTTACAGTAACAGAATGACTGTCAATGGAAACGCCGGAAAAAGCAGAAAACTGGGTCCAAACTTTCGAAATAAGGAAGCCTTACCGTCTGTAAGGAAGTGTTCATAAAGGAAAATCCTCGCATCCGCATCCAGCACCTACAAATAGTGAAAGCATCTGCACGTAAGTAAGTCTTGAGTTTGTCGCACGAGCAAGACAAGCCATTACGCACCTTCATTCGGCTGGACCGCATATCCAAGACGTCGGGCTCCACCAAATCGGGTTTGAAGTCAGATCCCATCCAACCTGTCCAGTAAGGATAGTGGTCGTGAGAAGGGTGCATCCTCAGGATCGACCTGTCGAACATGCGTCCGGTCAAGTCCCCACCTGGAAGGATATCCTCATCTGACCGTGGGTTCCGTAGTGTAGCTAGCGCAAAGTGACAAAGCACCAGCGCGGTGGCTGCCAAGAGTAATGTGTGTCGCCTCATGGCGTGAAACAGCGACGTAGTTTCGGCTTATAAGGGTGTGTTGTCTAGTATAAAGAGGTTGTTCTGTGCAGAGTTTATATGTTTCCGATTATAAATGCTTGTCAGTGACAAAAGTCAATTTATACGGGAGTTGCAACGCCCCTTCCCCCTGCATGGCGTGCGCCAGCCGGTACAAATGTACATGGTCGGTAGCGAGAAGGGCCATGCCATGCCAACCGCCTTTATACTTACAGATTACAACCCTAACATTTTCTGCATGAAACGAATCTGACCCATTACCATTTCCTGCGCTTGGTATCCTTGCAACAGCGACTCATTCGGTTACCCCAGCCCTTAGTCTTCCAGGCTTTTCCGTGTTGATGTTGTGCAAACACGTGAAGCATACATAACGGGCACTGGAAGAACATCGACTATGGGGTTTGGTCGACGCACCGTATGAGGCACTTCCGCCATCGCAACCCCAACTCGCTGCGCAGCAACCCTAAGACCAGGGTCAACATGCTACCGTGACTGTCAATGGAAACGCGCATCTATGTGTCCCTTGTCCACAAGCAGGTTCAAGGCCCCCTAGCAGGCCCTCCCGCGTCACCCCGCCCGGGTCACATGTGGGGGATCCTGCCTCCTGCGCACTGGAACTCCAAAAGTGAGGTGGATTCCTTGAAAAGCCGTTCAGCTCTAATACATATGGGCTCCACTTTTATGCATCTGCGTGCGCTATTTGTAGTCACACAGAGGTCGCCAAAGGCCTCCCCTCCGTAATCTTATCGCATCACTTGTGTTCGCGCCACTTAGGCGCCTCGCCACATGAAGGGGCAGCCTTTGTGAGTCCAGTCAGAGGCAGCAGCCGGTGCATGAAAGCCTGATGCAGGTGTGCATGCATGCCCACTCCTCAACCCACCACTCCATCACCAGGTCCCCTCCCCTTCAATCCTGGAACCTCCAAGGGAGGCACCGCACGCCCCCGCTGCACCCAGTGCGGTGGGATGGCCGCACCAAAGCACCCACCTCACCAGTGCATCCTCGCAGCACATCGAGGCACCCGCAAAACCCACCCACATGGAAGGGCAGCACATACCGGCAGTGCATGCATGCATGCTCCGATTTCCGAGCCAAACTATAGTTACGGTAGTGACGGCACCGACAGCAACACAGCCCAAGAGCGCACGAAGCAATGATAGTATCTTAGTATGATACACCACTGCCCAACAGTCCGCCCAGCCGCCCCCATGCCCCCTCCATTGATACCTGCGCCGGAATCTCTCCTTCCGCACCCTGGGTGCTGCTACCACATGTGTGCACAGCCTCCTGCTGGTTTCCGGCTTTCCGTCACACCGAAAGACAAGGGCCTGAGCTGGCCTGCAGAAGGGCCCCAGCGTTGCTACCCTAACAGTAACGGCCAGTTCCTGCTGAAGTTACTGGAATATCCGGAACTACGACAGTACGGCAAGGCAATTGTCTACAATTCAGAGACACACACACAGCTGCCATAACGCACCCGGCACGTCGCATGGCACCCAATACCAGTAAACGCCCTTTCGGCGTGCCTCCTGCTGTAAAGCACTGCTGCGCTTGCGTAAGGCACGACAAGGGTGCACTAAATACATCCAAACGGCCTAGCAGAAGTGCTCGGCCTTCCATCAAGTGCCGACGGCCACCCCTCACAGACATGGAGCACGCCACATACACGCGTGCCTACACTACGCTTATAGGTGCGCAAGATCACGCTATGACCACGCCCCTTTGCATCTCCAGAACGTGGGAAGCTGGGAAAACTGGAATCACTGCTGTCATACCCTATCTAAAGCAAGTTAACGAGCACCATGTAATGCCGCTGCATTCCCGCAAGTCAGTAAGCACGTGATAATGTACAAGGCTATCCTCCTGCCACCCACACCACTCTTCCACCCCTCCCATCCTAGCTACAACGCGAACCAGCTGCACCCACTTGGGCTGCACCCCGTGGGCAATGTCCAGCTACCGGTATACCCTACCGCACCTACCTACCTACCTACCTACCGCCCCCAAGTACCCCACCGCAACCCACCCCGCTTCAGCTGCTCACTCCAGATCCCCCGTCCCCTCATCACCTCCGCAAGCTGCCCGCCCGCTGCTGCCAGGCCGACATGCCCCCATCCCCCGCCCCCGACTCCTGCGGCTGCCGCAACGCCTGCAACATCGCCGCACTCGGCACCGCGCTCTTCTGCCGCCCCGCCGCCACCCTACCACCTCCCGCCCCCGCCTCACCACCACCCTCCGCACCCCCGCTCCCCTCCCCCACCACTCCCCCCGCCCCCGCGCCCCGCCTGCCGCCCCCATGCGCCCGCAGCTCTAGCACCTGAAGCCGGTCCAGCCGCGGCGGCTGCGGCTGCACCGGCACCGCGCCGCCGCCCTCCCACCTGGGCTGCGGCTGCGGCTCCGTGGGCCCGCCCGGCCCCCCCGGCCCCATGTACGTCAGCGCGTCCACCAGCTTGTCCGCCACGGGAGCCACGGCGTAGGCCTCCAGCCGCAGCCAGTGCCCCAACAGCTGCTCCGGGGCGGTGACCCAGGGCAGCAGGTCTGCGGGGCTGATGAGCGGGCCCTTCTGATCCGCAGCGGCGGACAGCGGAGGCGGTTGGTGCGGGTCTGATGACTGCGGGGCTGCTGGTGCCGTGGTGATGGCGGGTGGTGGTTGCGGCACGAGCAGCTGGTTGTGTTGGTCTGCGGAGGTGCAGGCGGCGATGCAGCAGCGGCGGGCCACGTTGGAGCCGGGGGCGATGTCGGTGAGGTAGACGTTGAAGAGCCAGCCCTGAGGGCCGGGTAGCAGAGAGGAGTGGAGAGCAGGGAGGAGGGGGTTAACGGTTAATTAATAGACAATTTGCAAGGAGCAGGACATCGGCCTAACGCTCACCTTACGCACAGAGGCCACCTAAATACGCTACACGGCCTGTTTTGCCCAGACCCCAGCTCTTCTCAACTGCTTGAATCCTCTAATTGTCTGCTAGACTGCTCTGACCAGCAAAAGCCTACCTGCACATCCGCCGGCCGGTCCACGCGAGCCACAAGCTGGTAGTGCTCTCTACGAGTGTACGGCGGCGCAGCCTCGCCACTGGATCCTGCAGCCCCAGTGACCCCCGGGTCATCTGCCGACCCACGGGTCGCTAAGACCGGTGTCGGCCCCTGAGCCGGCGCCCTGTCCACCGCGCCCGCGGCGGTGCTGACCTCCACCGAGGGAACGTCCTCGGGCACCCCCGCACCCCTGCGGCGCCGCAGCGACAGCGTACGGGGGGTGCCGGGAGGCGTGCCCGAGGGCGACACCGCTGCGGTGGTGGCTGCAGCGGGGCTGAGGGCGAGCGCCGGCACCGCGCCCGCCGCACCATCCGTGAGGGACAGCCGAGGAGGCCGCGGCGGGCAGTCAGGGGCTGCTGCTGCTGCGCCGGCGCCGGGGCTGCCGCTGCCCTGTGCGCTGCTGCTGCCGGCATCCGTGGTGACGCGGGGTCTGGGAGAGAACACACTGGCGCCCCACTGCACGCGCTTGCTGCCCACACCATGCATGCCGCCGCCACCACCACCACCGGCACCGCTGTTGGCTGTGTCCTCGTCGGCCGCGGTGACATCACCATTGAGGCCGGCGGCTGCGGCGGCGGCGGTGTAAGCGTCAACGGCACCTGCGTCCGTCTCATGCCGCGTGCCGTTGAGAGAATGGCGAAGGGAGAAGGCGGCGAGGGAGGCCGCCCGTGCGGAGGCAGCCGCTGCCGCCTCAGCCGCCTCCGATGCGGCTGCCGGCCCTGGCGGCGGCATGTACGGATGGGTGTCTGTGTCAGCGGCAGGGTCGGCAGAGGGCTGGCTGGGTGCAGCATGGAAGGCGCCGCCGCTACCCCTAGCGCCCGAGTCCACTGCCTCTGTAGGCTCTTCCGGCACCACGGCGGAAGCTTCGGCGTCTGCAGCTCCTGCTGCTCGCCCGGCCGCTGGCAAGGCTGACTCCTCAGCGGGCCTTACATCACCGCTGGCGGGCTGCTGGGGTGCCGCAACGTGACCGGGCGGCAGGGGTATGCGTGCCGTGTCGCGAGCGGTGGTGGCAGCAATTGCTGATGTCGTAGCTGTCGTACACCCTTCGCTACCAGCTGCAGCGGCAGCGAACGCGGCGCCTGGCTGCTTGCGCAAGTGCAGCGGGGCCCTTATGTCATCGAAGATTCCGCCACCGCGTCGGCCGCCCACCACGCCACCAGCGGACGCTGGGCGCGCCGTCGCCGGCGACACTGGATCCAAGATCCCTAATTCCACGCTACCCTGCAGTTCGTACGACGCAATGCCCGCCACGTCAGCGATCCGATCCCACAGCGCCTTACGAGCGCTAGCAAGCGCGCTGCTGCGACGGCGAATCACATCAACATCGACGGGTTGTTGTACGGCATGTGGTACGAATGGATCCACGGCAGCAGCGCCGCTGGCGCTGCCGCCGCCGTCGCCACCGGCGGTGCTCGTCCGGCGTGACAGCGCGTCAGGACTGCCACCCGAGTGCGGCTGGGGCGAGCTGCTGCGTCCGTTGCTGGTAGAGCGGGAGCCACCACCGCCACCACCACCAGCGACGGCAGCAGCAGCGGAGGAGGCACCAGGAGGAGCAGAAAAAGGCCGGGAGGGCGACGGCGCCGTGGCCCGTCGCGCGACCACAATCTGAGGACCCACGGGATCCCGGTAGATAACCCCATTAGAGGGGCCTCGCCTCAGCTGCGCATGGTGCCCTAGGAGACCGGGGTTGGAGCCCAGGTAGCGTACATGCGCGGCAGCGTAGGGGGAGGCAGCGGAGGAGCAGCTGCCTGCCGTACTGCCGCCGGCGCCGCCAGCTGCTGATGTCGTACAAGAGCGCTTATGAGTGACGCTGCTGGACACGGCGCTGCTGCCGACGGAGGGCGAGTACGGCGTACGGCGGCGGCGGGAGGATGACGAAGTCGCACTCCCTGCACGTCCGCACGAGGCAGCGACAGCAGGGGTGGGAGACGCCGGCGGAGACGCTGCTGACCCTGCGCTACTGCCGTACCGTGTCGAGTGCGATGCAGCGCCACCGTCGCGGCTAAAAGCGATGCAGATGCTGCCCGCTGCTGCGCTGCCGGGACGAGCAACGCCAACGGCCCCGCTACCGCCGGCGCCGCGACGTACGGCGGATGCGGGCCGGGCGCTTGCAGGGCGGCGGACGGGAGCTCCGTACACCGCTGCGGCAGCGGCGGCCGCTGCTGCTGCAGCTGCGGAGGAAGAGGAACCTCTGTGTGGTTGCCGTTGTTGCTGCTGGGGCGGCGGTTGCGACATCCCCTTCGCAGCCGCCATCACAGGACCCCTGTAGCCCCCCGTGAAGTGCGCGGAGGGGGAGCAGTGGTCTGTGGGCGCGGAGAAGGGCCTGCTGCGGTTGACCGGGCGGGCGCTGCTGGGCCGCGGCCGGGCGGAGCCGAAATAGAGCAGGCGGGCGGAGCTGGAGAGCAGGGAGGCAGGGGGCACGGCAGCAGCAGCTGCGGTGGTGGGGGAGGCGGAGCGGTGCAGGGTGTAGGCAGCGGGCGCCCTGTGGACACCAGGGCCGCCCAGGGTGGGTGAGGCTGGGCGTGAGGGCGACAGGGATCCTGGGGAGCCTGAGGGGTAGAGGAGTGGGTCGTCGGGAGCAGCAGCGGCTGGGTCCGCGAGTGCGAAGCCGGGTTGGGCATCGGGAGTGCTGGTGTCGTTGAGGGTGGCTGAGGCTGGTGGGGGTTGTGGTAAGGGCGCGGTGCTGGCGCGTATGAGGCGGTCGGCGAGACGGGAGATGGAGGCGCTGGTGGGCTGGGGAGCAAGCTTTAGGCGTGGGGCTATTTCGTTGACGCCATGAAGCGCGGCTGCGAGGGCGCGAGTGGCCGCGCCCCTGCGGTCCGCGCTCGATGCAGCAGCGGCTGCTGCCGGTGTCCCAGGGCGCGCTGTGCCTATGTGTTTATCGATGGTTAGGATGGTGCTTATATCATCGTTCCAGTCCAGAACGTGGGAGTAGCGGTGCTTGCGCGTTGCTGAAACCGGACGGAGGTTTGCGGTAACATCCGTAACTGTGACAAGAGTTGGCTCGTAAAATGTGCGTATCCGGGCATCAGTTTCATCAGCACGAGCAAAGTCATGAAGAACTTGAGAGTACGTTCGCACCGATTTGCGGACCATCCTGCTTATAACTCATAGATGCGACATACTATCATGAAGCAACCTAGCGCAAGACACTCCTATAACTTATGATGGGTATAGAGATAGAGAATCAAAGCCATGGGCACTGAAGTCATGACCGGTACGAAGATGTTTGTTGCCGAATGCAGTGCACTAAGCTGGTGCAAGTTATAAAAGGGAGTGCAATAACATACAAGGACGTACCTGGTTGTGGTACATTACACCTGTAACTTAACAACCTTCTGCAACACTTGGCAACATCGGCTATCCGCAACCCGCTTTCTTAACCTTGGGCTTAGATGCTTTTGCCATAATGGATCCGCGTGTGCGAAGTCTATATAAGCGACTCATACACTTAGCACGCGACTACCCGAAGGGCATCACTGAGGCGCGCCGAAGGCTGCAGGCAGCTTTCAAGTCCCCCAAAGCAGAGCCGCTAGACGACGCGATAGCAAAGGGAGAGTACGTGGCCCGCGAGCTTGAGGCGCTGGTGTACCTGCACAAGTACCGCACATTGTTTAAGCGCTACGACGAGCTCAGGCCCGAGCCACCTGCTCGATCCCCTGGCACCAGGAGCCGCTAAGGCCTTCGCCTAAGATACCGGAGACCGACTTGCCCAGTCGAGGCCACCCATGGCAGCGCATGGCCTTGGCATCGCTCCTAACAGCGCGCTGCCTGCAAGACGCTACTGCACTCAACAGGCGTCAAGGCGCACTCACATCCTAACAACACCTGGGGCGACACGTATCTCCATCGCACCGAAACCAACAGCGGGACAGACGCAGCAGCGGCAGCAGCTGCTACCTCCCGGGCTACCATGCTACCGGCAACCACTGCAGCCCTGGATGCGGCATCGCCAGTCGCGGTCGCATCAGCCCTACCCAGCACCTCAGGCCGCGCCAGGGGTTGCGGCGGCGGCAGCTGACAATACCCCGACAGCACAAGAGGCGTCTGCTCAGCCCCCCCTGGCGACGCTGGCGGCCGCAGGGCTGTTACTGACGGGGCTGCTGCTGTTGCTTGCCACCTCCACACCCGCCTCCGCGGCATCCGCAGGGTCGCCCCCCTCGCATCCCCCTCTGACCTCCTCGCTGTACGGCACCCCGGCTGACAACAACAGCGGTGGCGGCAGGGCGACATGGCCCACATGGGTGGAGGCTGCTGGCGGGGTTGAGCGACCCGCACCGAGGCAGGCGTCGGGGTCGGGGTCGGGGTCGGGGCTGCTGGCGGCTGCGCTGGGCGGGGTGGACTGGCGACACCAGCTGCGGGTGAGGGGTAAAAGTAAGGGGAAACTGACGAGGCAACTAACGAAGGGGGGGCCTGGTTGGGGGTGGATGGAGCCCTCCATGGAGGTTGGGTGCGGTGTGTGGGTGTTGGAGGGCTGGGTGTTGCATGCTGCTCCTGGGTGGTTTAGCGGGAAGACAGGCGAACGTAAACGTATGACGTGGCACTCCCGTCACCCACCCTCATTCAAAACCCCTCCTTGCTGCCCCCCGCCCCCATGTTCCCCTCCCTCCCCACGCCCCAGCTGGCTGCCTGGGAGCTGGCGGGCGCTGCGGGCGCCGCTGCCGCCCTAGTGGCCTACCAGGAGCGACCCCGGGGCTGGGCGCGGAGGGAGCTGCTGGAGGTGCGAGGGAGGGAGGGAGGGGGTTAGGGTCTATACCTTGCCTGACTACTGGCTTTGGCCGGTGTGACCCACGGGTCGGCAGAGGGTGCCGCTGCGATTGTTGTAAACACCGGTGTTGCTGCTCTGCTGCTGCTTGGATGGGGCTGCCCGGGAAAGCAAACAACCTTGGAGCTTCCCATCCTTTAAAGCTCTCGTTAAGCTTGGTCCTGGCGACATGCTTGTATCGCCTACCACTGACAGTCCGGAACAAGAAGGGAGAAGGAGGCGAATGCGAATTCCAGCCACACTCGCCCCCGCCCTTCACATCCCTGACATCCCTCACCTCTTCCCCGTCCCCCTCCCTTCCACAGGTTCGTGCCAGCCCCATCTCGGGTCGCGGCGTGTTCGCCCGCGCGCCCATCCCCTCCGGCACGCTGCTGGGCTCCTACCCGGGCCGCCTGCGCAGCGGTCCCGACATGCTGGCCAAGTGCAGGCGGGCGCCGGGGGCGGCGGCGTACGCATTCAAGACGGGTGAGCGCTGGGGGCCCCGTGTGTGTATCAAGAAACCTTGCCCCGTGCGCCGCGTGTGTGTTAGGAGAACTGGCCCTGTGGCAGTGTGCGTGTGTGTCACGTCTTGACCTATCTTTCTTTATCCCCTCATTACCACCCCACCTTCCTATGTTTTGATATGCCCGTATGGCGTCATTGACCCCCCCCTTCAGTGTCCCCCACCCACCGGCTGCTGCCACTACCGTATCCTTCCATGCATGGTATACTCTCCTCGCTCCTTACATACCCCACGTCTGCTGCTGCTGCTGCTGCTGCCGCTGCTGCAGGCGACGGCCGCTTCCTGGACCCCACCGACCTGTCGGGCGCCCCCAGCCCCTTCCCGCAGCCCGGCCCGCCCTGGCCGCTGCCACTGGAGGTGGCGCTGGCGTTCGTGAATGAGCCGCCCAAGGTGCGGTCGGGAGGGGGGGAGGGGGGGGGGATGGGAAGAGAGGAAAAGAGACCCGGGGTGTGGGGGCGGTGAATAGGAAGAGAGGCTTGGGGGGAGGGCGTGAGCAGGAAAGGGCTATAACCAGAGGAAGCCCCCTGCCCCGGAGCCTCATCGCTTCCCGTTTCCTGCCGCAGTTGGCTCCTGGTATTGTCGTTTCGTGCTGCCGCTCCCTTTTTGATGCTTTCGGTTTCCCCGCAGCCATTGTGATGCTTCCGGATTCTCCCCGCTCCCATTTTGATGCTTCCGGATTCCCCCCGCTCCCATTTTGATACTTCCGGATTCCTCGGATATCCGCGCGGAGGACCGACTCGCAATCCTCCTTCTTCCGTTTCCCTTGGTCCTCTAACATTTGATATTTCCGAATCTTTCAAGGGAAGCCCAAGCCCAAACCCAAACCCAAAGCTCCACGGTGTTCGAATCCCGCCTGTGTAGTCCCACGAGTCTTAACTGACGCTGTTTCCCATCAGACACATGGCGCGCGCATTATCAATAGCCTCTTCCCCAATTGTTCCCCTCTCCCCGGGGCCCCCCTAATCTTCCCCTTGCCCTCCCTCCCTCCCTCCCTCCTCCGCAGCACTCCCCGGGCACCAACGTCACAGTTGAGGACGGCCCCGCCCCGGGAGAGCTGCTCTTCGTTGCGGCGGCCGACATAGCCCCTGGGGCGGAGCTGCTCATCGACTACGGCACATCGTACGACAGGTCACAGTACGGCAGCAGGGAGGAGGGAGGGGGACGGCAGTGAGGGGGGAGGGAAGATATGAAACGTTAAGCAACGATGAGCAGCAGTGAGGGGAAGGCAGGAGCGAGTCGGGCAGCGGTAGAAACGCTGGAGCAGTGGTGGTGGTGGTGGCGGCAGTAGAGCACGGCAAACTGCAAGGCGAACGAGGAAACAGACAGATATGGCAAACAGTGTGCATGGGCTGCCGTACGACAATGCAGAGATGCGCATGCCAGGGGAAGGAGGACTGGCGGGAGTGTGTTAAGAAAACTGGCCGCGAGTAAGAATGTACTGGGATGTTGGAAGATGAAGTCGGGAGTGTGTTAAGAAAACTGGCCGCGAGGCGAAACGTACTGTGATTGCCGAAAGATGAGTGCAGGGAGTGTGTGTGCGTCGGGAGGGCAGGAGGAGGTTGTTGTGGGTACATCCGTACCTGCAGGGAGGGTTGGGCTGTTTGGAAGCTGTCGCTAGTGTAGTTCGGAGCCCTGTTGCTGGTGTTGCGTAGTTGTTGCACTGCTGTCACCGGATGTACTCAGCCGGGGAGGGGAGCAAAGGCTGGGGCAGCTTTGGAGGGATTTGTGCTGTTGGGGCTGAGGTTGAGGAAGGGGAAGTAGGTCGCGCCTAGCACCCCGGTAGCCAGGTAGGACCGCAGCTATGTAATCATGTGCTTTACTCCTTGCTGGATGATAACGGTACATGATTCTCGTTTGCGTACCCTCTGCGACATATGAAACATATGAAACTTGATGCGTCTTTTCAACAGGCGATGCATAGTACAAACGAGCTATATTGCCGTGAAGGTGTTGTAAGCAATGGCAATGGGGCGGCAATGAGCGGCGGCGGTGAGCGCGAGGGTGGCGGCCGCGAAAGTGTCCCATGGGTCACAATGAGCGCAGGCTTCTCCCTCGCTGCGCCAATGCAAAGGCGCTGCACCAGCCCTTGTTCTTCCTCTTCTTCCTCCTCTTCTTCTTCTTTGCATTCCCTGCCCACCAGAGCCCGCCACAGCCCACCTTCCAGTCATTTGGTTGACTGTGCTGCCGGCCATCTGCTGCCCCTGGCTGGCTAGGTCGGATGCATGCAGCCTGGGAGACAGGCGCATCGGTGCGGCGGATGCCGGACATCGTTGCTGTCCTGGCGCCGCGAGAGGTCTGCCGCCTGGGAATGAACTAGGTCAAAGCAGCTAACTGATACGGTAGTGTGACTATTATACTAGACTTGGTATGCTTTTCTTACGCTGCGCTTTTGGCCTGAAAGCGGTTGAAAGCGCCGGAGATATTTGTTGGTATGGTATGTGTTACGGTACCGTGCATGGGCGATGACGCATGCTTCCATGATCAACCGCTGGGGCAGGGGATCTGGCGGGCCAGCCAGCAACAACCGCGGTCCGCGAAGCACACCATCACCGCCCTTTCCTACACATTGTAACCGTCATTGTGGTCCTTCATGATAGCTCCGCACTCCTGCGCCCGCTGCACCCAAACCAACCCACACTAACATGCGGGTAGTCGCCGTCTCTTGCCGCGATCAACTGCCAACCACACCATGCAGCAGCATCAACTCTTGAACCCTTAGAACGTTGCATGGAAGTTAATACGCACCCCTCTCTCGGCAGTGCCGTCTTGGAACGGCCATTATCAACCGCCAACCGCTTCCAATACCGTAGCACCGGATCGCTCCTAGAATGGCATACCCCTGCTGCGAGCAGCATTCTCCCACACCGCAACGTGAATGCTGGATTCCTTCGCTTAGGGCGCAACGATAGTCGAACCGCTTGTTGTTGCAGTCTGCCCTGCTCAGCACACATACACAACACACAGCAGCAGAGCGCGCTTGCCTGCCAACCGTCGCAGAGTCCAACTGACCGACCGCCAAAGGGGCTCGTAACGCTTTCCTTTCCTTGCTTTCCTACCTACAAAACTTTAGTCACCAGCGCTTCAGCAACATTCTAACTAGCAGCCCCCGCACCCGCGAAACCACGCCTGGGTGTGCCCTGGGTGTCCAGCACACCGCCCCACCTGCCCAGTCCGCGGCTCAATCCCGGACAAGCTACCAGCGGCCCCTGCACCTCTCCCTCCTCCACACACACACACCGCCCAGTTCACCTAAAACACACACACGCACACACACGTCCCCACACGCTCCAGGCCTCCCGCCCCTTCCGCGCCACCGTATCAATCGCCGCCATGCCTCGCGACCTGAGCGGCACGGGTCGCTACCCGCCTCAGCCCCGCCACTCAGCCTTCGCCTTCTACTCGGCAGTCAGGCTGGGGGACCCGGAGGCGCTGGCAAAGATCATGCAGGTGGGTGGGTGTGGGTGTGTTGGAGGGTGTTTGGGGGGTAGGGGAGAAGAACGTCAAGTAACCGTGCTACAAGGCTGCTCCATGGAGGTATGTGAGGGGGTGTTTTGGGTTGTTGGGCAACTAGCCGTACATGCATGCAGCAGGCGTGAGGGGTCTGGCCAGCGGGCTCCCGCCTCCACCAGGTCTACCCAGGTCGGAGCTCAACCCCAACAGTGGCCGCCGCCAACGTCCAGGGAACCATTACAACGGTCATTCATCCAATGTCCTTCAGCTCCAGCTCCAAACAAACCGTGGAGCAGCGCCCTCCTCCGTATCCCGCTCCTACCCTTCCCTTGCTCCCCTCATCCCCCCACTCCACCCCTACCCAGGTGGACCCCTACTTCGTGACGCAGGACAACGGAGCGGGGGCGCCCCTGCACTTCGCTGTCACCTACCGTCAACTGGACATGGTGAGGAGGGTGGGGTGGGGTGGGGTGGGGTGGGGTGGGGTGGGGTGGGGTGGGGTGGGGTGGGGTGGGGTGGGGTGGGGTGGGGTGGGGTGGGGTGGGGTGGGGTGGGGTGGGGTGGGGTGGGGTGGGGTGGGGTGGGGTGGGGTGGGGTGGGGTGGGGTGGGGGGAAAGGTGTGCTGCGGGGGCTGCGGGAGAGGAGTGAGGGCCTGAGGGAGGGCTTGCTGCATGCGGCGCTGCCGAGATGCTGGCATGCATGCTTGCGTGCGTGCTTGCGTGCGAGGGGGGGGGCGGGTTCCAAACCGCGGCCAGGCAGTCGGTTAACCCCGGCATGCACGTACCTACGATGGTACGTACCCGGTTCCTCCTTCCCCTTCTGCCCTCCTCCCTCCTCCCTACCCCCTACCCCCCGCTCCCAAAGGTGCACCACCTGCTCTCCCTGGGTGCGCATGTGAACCAGCGCGACCCCCGCGGCCTCACCCCGCTGCACCGGGCAGCCGCGCTGGCGCACCTGGAGGGCTACATGGAGATATACGAGTACCTGCTGGTAAGTTTCGGGGGGGGGGAAGGGGAGGATTGGGGAGGGGGGGGAAGAAGAATACCCAATGTATTGGGGGAGGGGAGACCTACGAGTACCTGCTGGTAAGTTTAGAGGGTGGGACAAAGACCATGCCATACCATGGCAACATTAGGAGGCCTTGGGGAGGGGGGGGAGGGGGGCCTCTGCATGTATGCGGCATGTCGTATGTGGTGCGCTGTCAGTTGGCCATGAAAGGAGGAGGATGGGTGAGGGGGAGCGCGCGCCTCCCAGCTCCCCCCTTCGCGCCTTCAATTAGCAACCCATGGAGAAGCCTCGTCATCCAGTTCGTCAGTTTCCTTATTTTTACCCCCTTCGAGCCGCACAACACCCAACCCCCACTCCTGTCCCCTCCTCCCCCCTTCCCCCCTCCCCCGCAGTCCCGCGGCGCCGACCCCTCCATCCTGTCCGAGGACTTCGACCCCTATCTGGACCCGGGGGCCAAGAGACCGCTGCAGCTGGCGGTGAAGGAGCCGCCGGCCGTGCGTGAGGCGCTGCAGGTGGGGGCGGGGGGCAGGGGTGTGCCCCACTGACATGCCCTACCTCCCACCCCCTCCATCCACATACTGCGAAGAACCCCAAACACGTTACCGCCGCCCCCCCCTCTCTCCCCCCCCTGCTTCCCCCACACCACACCCACCCACATGCAAGGCCCTGGAGGCCAAGTACGCGGCTGTGCCCAAGGTAGGGCTGGGTGAGGGAACGGAAAGGAGTGTTGGGGGAATTAGGGGAGGGCAGCAGGGTGGGTAGCGGGACAGAGGGTGGGCGGGTTTGCCGTGCCCCGAAGCACCCCTCCCTGTTGCCATTAACCCCGTAAGTGCTACCCCCTGTCCCTCCCCTCACCCTCTTCCCCCTCATTCTCCCTCATTTAACCATCAATGAACGCATGGTTCTCCTCTCCCCTCCCGGCTCCCCCCAACCCCCGCCCCCTTCCCCCAGGCCCCCCGCGCCCACCCCGACCTGGGCGACTGGTGGGCCCTGTACGACTACGGACCCGAGGTGGTGCGGCAGTGGCCGGCGGAGTACCGCCACCCCTACCCGGAGGTGGCGGCCAGGGAGAGGGCAAAGGTAAGGAGCAGGGGAGGAGGGGGAGGATAAAAAGGAAACAACTCACTAACCGTGTGATAAGGCAGGGGGAGGGGGAAAGGGTGCGTGGGGGTGGGGGTGTTGGGAGCACTGTGTATGTGTGGTGGCGGTGGGGGAGGGGTATTATTGATGGGAGGAGGAGGGTGCGGTGAGGGCAGCGGCAGATGTCAGGGGTGTCGCGCAAACAGGTCTGACACAGGCGCGTAGGTGGCGGGCACGCGGGCTGTGGTGGGTGTGCGCCTGCGTGCTTGCGTGCGTGCATGCAATTCGGCCACCCGGGGGGGCATGCGCTCATGTCCCCATCCCGCTACTTCCAGCAGCACAGCTTGCCTCGCCATATGGGGCCTCTCCCCCTCCCTCTTTCCCTCCACCTACCCGCCCACCCATCACACTTCCTGCTCCCTCCCCCCTCCTCTCCCCCACCCTTCCCCCCTGTCCCCATGCTAGGCTGAGAAGCGCGCAGAGCGGCTGGCTCGGCGCGAGCAGAGGACCGCCTTCCTGGCTAGCCTGGAGGCGGGTGGGTGGGGGTGCAGGGAGGTGGGGAGCCAGGTGGGAAGAAGCAAGGGTTGCAGGCCGACCCTGACCTGCTGCTGTGGATGATGTCTTGCTCCCCTACCCGGGCGGGCCTTCTGCCACCCCACTCCGTTACCCGGCACCTCTTCCCCTTCACCACACCCCGACTCCCCCCTGCCGACAAACTCCCCTCCCCCCCGGGCCCCCCCAGGTGGCGATGGCAGCGAGGTGCTGGCGGCCTTCGCACCCGCACCCGCACCCGCACCTGCACCCGCACCCGCCACTTCTGCTGCTGCCGGTGGCGGCCCCTCCACTTCCACCCCCGCCCCCATCCCCGCCCCCTCCGCCGGCCCCTCCGCCGCTGCGCCTGCCGACCCGGTCGCATTCGTGTTTCCCGGCCAGGTAGGTCAGGAGGTATGGGGGATGTGTGGGAGGGCGGGCCTCGGGCCCCTCGGGTACCGGAACAGAAGGTGCTTGTGCAGCTCACCCCTCATTCTCCCCGCCTTCAACGCTTCAAGCCCGTACCACGGCCCCCTACCCCATTTCTTTGTGTTCCCCCCTCCCTACCCCCTCCTCCCCCCCCCCCTGCATGAGTCGGGATATGGGATTGGGACTCGTTGTTTCACTTATTTACTTTCCCCACCCCCTCCCTCCTTCTTTCCCCCCTCCCCAACAGGGCTCCCAGGCGGTGGGTATGCTGTCCGCCGCCGCCAGCCTGCCCTCCGTTGCCGCCCTGCTGGACACCGCACGGCAGGTGCTGGGGTACGACCTGCTGCAGCTGTGCATGAAGGGTGAGGGGGAGGGATGGGTGTACGGCAGGTGCTGGGGTACGACCTGCTGCAGCTGTGCATGAAGGGTGAGGGGGAGGGATGGGTGTACGGCAGGTGCTGGGGTACGACCTGTTGCAGCTGTG